ACATATGTGGGAAATATTTTTCACAGTCACCTGACATGTGTGGGATTCTGTCTGGGTCATCACCATGGCTGACTAAGCAAAACTCATCGCAGAATTAAATGTACTAAAATATTCAGGCTGCTGGCATATAAACTTGAAAAAATAAAAAGAAAAGCAAAAAATATTCCCTTAGCCTCAGTCCAACTTCAGATAAAAGGGAAAAGGGTTTCATAGTGGTATTTCAGGGTATTTGACTCATGAGAGAGTATTGGTCGTCCATGCACCGAACCGGTTTGGTGCAGGTCATCGCCTCGAGAGGGCATCAGGCTTCCCATGGGATTTTCCTGGCTTATGGGTAAGTCGGAAGTCATACTCTGCGAGTTCCAAGGCCCAATGTGCTTGACGACGGTTCAGTTTCTTTGCCGAAGTAAAGTACTCCAAATTCTTGTGGTCAGTGAGAATTTCAATGATTTGTTGCGCACCCATCAAATAATGTCGCCATTCAGCAAGAGCTCGCATAATAGCAAGCAGTTCCTTGTCATGGATGTTGTAGTTGCGCTCAACATCAGATAGCACACGCAAAAGGAATGCAACAGGGTGCCAATGATTATCAGATTGGAGTTGGGAAAGTACTGCTCCCGTAGCATAGTCAGAACTATCAGCTTCGACACGAAATGGGGCATTGTCTTTGGGCAGAATAAGTACGGGTGCCGTGGTGATAGCAGTTTTCAGGCCTTGGAATGCCTTTTCTTCGTCTATTCCCCAATGCCATTGTTCGTTACCAGTCAAGCGGTGAAGAGGATGAGCGATATGAGCGAAACCTTGAATAAAACAGCGATAATAGTTGGCAAATCCTAAAAATTGCTGGAGTTTGCGTTTCATAGTGGGCCGAGGCCATTCTTGTACACCCTTCACTTTAACTGGATCCATAGAAACCTCGCCATGGCGAATAATGAGTCTGAGATATTCGATTTCTGTCTGTTCAAAGGCACACTTCTTGGCCTTCAGATACAAGTGGTTGTTGCGAAGGATTTGAAGAACTTCGCATGTGACTCGTCGATGTTCTTCGAGGGATTCGGTAAAGATGAGAATGTTGTCCATGTAAACAATTACCACTCCACGGCTAATGAGATCTCGGAATAAATCATTAATCATTGTCTGAAAGGTAGCCGGTGAGTTTGTGAGGCCGAAAAACATTACCAGTGGTTCATAGAGCCCCCGATTGGTTGTAAACACAGCTTTCCACTCATCTCCCTCACGGACGCGGATATTATTATACCCCCATCGAACATCGAGCTTGGTAAAATATTGCGTGTTGCGGAGTTTGTGGATCACTTCGGAAATCAGAGGAAGGGGATACCAATTTTTGATGGTGGCTGAGTTTAACTTGCGATAGTCCTGTACAGGACGCAGAGAGCCATCTTTCTTCTTGACGAAGAAGAATGGGGAAGAAATAGGGGATTTTGAAGGTCGAATTCGTCCTGTGCGCAGATGTTCTTCAATGAATTTGTCGAGTTCAGCTTGCTCAACAAGACTTAGCGGGTAAATCTTGCTATTGAAAGGTTCGATGCCTGGTTTGAGTTCAATAGCATGATCCCACTGACGTCGGTCAGGTAAGTGATTGAACGAGGCTTTCTCAAACACCGGCGTAAAATCTTCAAGGTGTTTGGGAAGTAATTCTTCCAACGACATCTTCATTCCCTTCTTGAGTGCCTCCTCTGCCAACTTCTGAGAGCGTGTTTCCACAGCCCTAATCTTTTCACGTCCTCTAGCCTTCTCCCAATACTGCCATTCTTCCAACGTCTCGACCTCAAACTTAGTGACAAAGATGTGGTCTCCATCTTCCAACTGTTCCGCTTTCTGCTTCTCTTTACAAGGCTCATCTTCTGGCTCGTGTGATATCTCTCCTCCGAAGGTAGCACGGCAAGCAAGTGGGCAGCGATTAAAGGTGATATCTCCAGTGCGCCAGTCAACAGAGGGATTATGCTTCCGAAGCCAATCGAAACCAATGATAAGGTCCATCTTTCCAATGTTGGTAACTGCAAAATTAAAGACCTCGATGTGATCTTGTACCTGGAGACGCAACTTCACCACAGATCGAATTGGACCTCCTTCATTGTGTGAGCCATCCGCGTTATAAACTGGAATGGGTCGAGGAAGTGATTCGAGATTAAGACCTTTGGCTCGTGCAAATCCCTCATCGATATACAGTGGCTCAAAAAAGTGTCCCAATGTTTGTAGCCTTTCACGTAATTGCTATATCATGAGCCAAGACGTGGAAATATGACTAAGCTATAGGAAGATGTCGGAAAGGTCTGCTTCTCAGCTTCATTTCGGTTCCCTATACTGTGGGAAAATAATGACATTATGTGAAGATATGAGTATTTTAATTTGATGACTCATTGGGACACTTTTTTGACTGTGAGTTTAACTAATGTAATCTCTATAATTCTAGTACTGTGTGTGACCTCCTTCTGCCCCAATCACTTCTGCCACTCTTCTAGACATATTGTCTATCAATTTTGGGTATTCCTCTTTGGTGATTCCATCATACTCTGCTGTAACACTGTCTCATAGTTGGAATAACCCCTATGGTGAATCTTGATATGCTATAAGTAATTTCTTGAGTGATTCTCAGAGGTATTCAATAGGGTTGATGTCTTGGGTCTATGTTGAACATGATAGAATAGTAATATTATGGTCTTTAAGTTATTTGGTAGCCAATCTAGAAGGTTGCTCTATAAGACTTAAGATCTCTTAATCACTATATTCTAATTTAAAAGGCTGCTGATGTTAATAAAGTGACTAAATTGATTATTTCCATCATTCCTATGACTATCTCTACTCAAATAGTCAGACAGACTCTCAAGACAGCCCATCTTAAAGCTATAATCAAGAAAAACAGATTCTTCTGTCTCCAACCTATAAAAAGAAAAGACAAGATGCTACTTTCAAGTACAAATATTAGACTGCTGATAGCCGAAAGAGGTTTATCTAGTTAGATATGGTTAAAATAAATAGGATGAGATCATATGGCAAGGAATTTGTATTAAAATAGATAGGACAATCATTAAGATAAAGAAAAGTTAAATAAACACCTTAAGTTTCAAGACGAAAACTTGATGGTATAGGACTATATGAGATAAAATGGAATGGGAATTTTCTATGAAGCAAAGGGGAGGATGAATACAGAGTAGTAAATACTCATTTGACAGGAATGTCTGCTAAGAAGCATGCAGGAGTTATAAGTTAATGAAGAAGATACTGTTTTGTGATAAGACAATGACCCTAAGTATACCTCTAAATCAGCCACCAATAGCCTGCAGACCATGATATTACTATTCTATCATGTTCAACATAGACCCAAGACATCAACCCTATTGAATACCTCTGAGAATCACTCAAGAAATTACTTATAGCATATCAAGATTCACCATAGGGGTTATTCCAACTATGAGACAGTGTTACAGCAGAGTATGATGGAATCACCAAAGAGGAATACCCAAAATTGATAGACAATATGTCTAGAAGAGTGGCAGAAGTGATTGGGGCAGAAGGAGGTCACACACAGTACTAGAATTATAGAGATTACATTAGTTAAACTCACAGTCAAAAAAGTGTCCCAATGAGTCATCAAATTAAAATACTCATATCTTCACATAATGTCATTATTTTCCCACAGTATAGGGAACCGAAATGAAGCTGAGAAGCAGACCTTTCCGACATCTTCCTATAGCTTAGTCATATTTCCACGTCTTGACTCATGATATAGCAATTACGTGAAAAGCTACAAACATTAGGACACTTTTTTGAGCCACTGTAGCAGCCTGTGGCTCCACAATCCAGAAGAGCGTTCAATTGGAAAGTGTGTTGATCATCAAGGGTACCAATAGTAACCGGCGTGACAACGGAATTTTGATTAATTTTGCGGATCCAGGTTCTTGGATGTTTCAACTCTCGGAGAACCTCCCTTTGTTGAATTGGCGCGAGCTGTCGAAGTCGGAGTAGGAGGTCAATATCAACCTCTGAGATGCGCTGACGATTGGTCCAACGACGTAATGTCTTCAATGCCTTTTCATCATCGGAATAAAGCATTTCCATGGTCCATAGCAGAGAACCTTTCTTTGCCTTCTCGTCATCCTTCAACTGTCTTTTACTAGTTTCCTCCTTTTTATCATTCTGCTTTCGCTCCTTCCTCCGCTGATTCTTCTTTTGTAGTTTACTCTTTGGTTGATCTACAGAAGTGGGTGCTTGAGAGTCCGAACCACATGTTTCATTGACTGATTCAGCACTTATCATACAATCCGCCAGTGAGTTAGCACCCTTCTCTCCCGGCGTCTTCAAAAATCCTCCTGCTTCTCTCGTAAATTAAAAATCTCTGCTACTTCTCCCTTTTGTTCTTCAGTCAGTCCCTTGAAAACTGCCCTCATTGTATTCCATCCTCGTGGCTTAGGACAACCACGAGCAATGTGTCCCGTCTCTCCACAGTTATAGCATTTGAGCTGGTTAGCTTGTCCACGCTGCCGGTCAAGATCCATAGGTTCCCCTCGTCCAGGAAAGGTGCGCCAGCCCCCTGTATTGGTGCCCCCAGTGCCTGTGCCCGCGTGACCCCCAGTATCCATAGTGGTGCCATTTGTTCCAGTGGTACCTGTATGGGGAGATCCCTGTCCTACACCTCCTTGTGGCCGAAACCAACCCGGTCCTCCTCATCCTTCACCAAACCTCCTCCCACCTGCAGATTCTCCTTCATTCCTCTCATTGGCCCTCTTGTTCCTATCATACCTCTTCGCATAATCCCTCCAGGCCGCCAGAGTTCGGTCAACCTGTGGCGCTGCTACAATCGCGTCAAAGGTCAGCTTGTCAAGGTTCTGCTGTAAGACATCAAGCAGGGCTTCATCATTGAATCCTGCAAGAGTCACAAGCTGGTCGAACTCTGCGAAATATTTGTCGGCAGATTGTTTGGGATTCTTCTTCAGCGCATGTAGCTTTACTTGAGCAGCTTACTTCTTATTTGGATCATTAAACACTTCTTTCAACTTCCTCTTGAATGCCGTCCAGCTTGTGAATGTAACAGTTCCCTCTCTCAACTGCTTCGTAACGTTGGTCATCCAAGTTCCTGCAAAGCCATTCTTCATAAAGGATAAGGCAGTGACAATCTTCATCTGGTCGTTAACATAGACGGCTGGTTTGGCAGAGAACAATAGATAGAGCTGGCTCATAAAAGGATCAAAGGTGTCGTATTTTCCATCATAGGCATCAGGCTCTGCGACTGATGCCTTGGGAGGTGCCGCAGGTTGTGTCCGCAGTGCTGGCGCTGGCTGATTCAAAATTTGAGTCACCGCTTGTCCGAAATCTTGTTGTCCTTGTACGAGCTGCGCAAGGAGTTGGAACAAGGCTGGTGCGTCTCCATTATTAGGAGCGGCCATATTCTGGTCAGTGTCAAGTGAGTTGGTGGTAGACGACATGATAGGGGTCGACCAATAAAATGGTTTCTGGCTTTAAGATGGGTTTTCGACCTAATGTCAGCAACACCCTAAGTCTGTTGTTATAGTTCTGATGACGATCCCATAGATGGGAACAAGATAGATTGCTGATTACAAGACTGCAATGGTAGAATAAACAAGGTCGAAAACAAGGAACGAGACTCTCAGTGGCGCGCGTCATAACCAAATTAAAAGCCTGCTAGTCCTTGGGCTACGCCTTTTCATCACACATATATATATCAGAGACATCTTACAGTACCTGATTCCTTTTCCCGTTATTTCCCGTCTTTCCATTCCCACTTAAGACATCGAGCACCCATCAACTCACCTCAGTCCCTTTACCCGTGACTGAGGCTCGTGTCTAGTTCTCACCTTTAACAGGTTATGAGCCCTGGCTAAAGGATAGCGGCACTATCTATCATCTCTCCCATTCGCACTCGATTCTCGAACGTTCGTTCACCCACCACAGTTCCTGACTGGTTCAAACCAATATCGCAACTGTCACTCCTCATTTCACTATATTACCATGACGTCATCCTCAGACTCTCTCCCGAAAACCGAAAAATACCCGCACAAGAAGCTCGCCCTTGACAGCTCCAATTACTCTCAATGGGCAACTGGATTCAAGATGTGGGCTGGTGGACTCGGGCTATGGCCCTACAGCAACGGAGATGAGAAGGAACCCTCACCTCCTGCCCAACTCAATGATCCAGACCAGAATGTCCTTAGGAAGGAGAAACACGACGAATGAGTGAAGTTGTTCAGGCAGCACCGCTTGCTTGCCCTTAGTGCATTGTCTACTGCCATAGACACCCAGGACTTTGTATATCTCTGTGACATGGAGGACCCGAACATAGGTTGGGATGCCCTAGCTGGAAAGTACTTACCCCAGAAAGCTATCCGGTTCAACCAGTACCTTGACCGGCTCTTCACCATCCCCAAGGCCCACGACAGCATCTCAATCGCCGAGATGCTCCAGAGGCTTGTTGTGCTGAGATCTGACCTTGGGGTGCTTTCCATTACCCTTCCAATGACAACAGCTACAACTACCCCAGGTCCAAATGAGTACAAAGTCCCGGATGCCATATTTGTCCACATCCTGCTGCGTGCACTCCCTGACTACTATGATCCTTTCTGCCAAACTCTCATCAATAGCAGCACCCCCCTCAACTTCAATGACATCGTCAACCGTCTGAAGACCCAGGAGCTTCACCGCACCGTGAACGGCGGCAACACTGAACATGCCGCAATGTTCTCTGGACATCGAGGTGCCGTGAACGGTCCCTCCAAAACTGACCGTGTCCCTCCTAAAGGATTTGATGAGTCGAAGGGTGATGGATGGGTGCTTGGGTGGCGTCCAAAATGTGGACACTGTGCCAAGGCAGGTCACATCTGGTTACAGTGCCGTGTACGCCTCTCAAAGGAGGAGAAGAATCCAAAGTCAGCCTCACCTGTTTCTTCCACTGCCACTATCACCACTAACATGGAAGTCTCTATGGCAGACCAACCTAATGCGGATGCCGTATCATGCCCTCCTTTCATCCTCTCCCTAAAAGAGCACTCTGCCAATATTTCATCATCTCTTACTGTACCTGCAGGCTCCCTACATGTAGACTCTGCTGCAACGGCTCATATGGAGCCTGATATATCACATTTTGCTCACTATACGAGGCTGCATGAGCCAATCCGTGTGAAACTCGCCGACAACCATGTAGTCATGGCACCTGGCTGGGGAACAGTAAGGCTTGCCCTGCAGTACGAGGATACCTCAACGGACCGGGACTTTGACTTCCTCCATGTCCCTGATCTCTGGTGCACCCTCGTTTCGGTGTCTTGTCTCACCTCTGAATGCATTTCCTTCATCTCTACCTCCAAAGGAGGATGCTTAGTGCTAACGATGGCCAAGGGCCACCACTTGCTCATGTCCACCCTCGTAATGGACTGTACATGCTCAATGCTACATACACTACTGGGAATGCTGCTGCATCCGCGATGCTTGTCAAGTTGTCCTCTGCTGCCTTGTCCCTGCACACTTGGCATCGACGATTGGGCCATGCCAGCTTCTCAACTGTCCTGAAGGCCAGTGAGCATGCTGATGGCATCTACATCGATCCTGTGTCCCTCCTTCATGCTGGTGATGGTGCCGACTCCATTCACTGTGTGTCGTGTGTCATGGGCAAGCACAAACACTCACCCTTCCCCATTCCTGCGCGACACGCTTCTGCCCCTGCTGAACTCGTGCACTCAGACATTTGGGGTCCCGTGAATGTCACCTCCTCCTCAGGCGACTCTTACTTCATTGTCTTTACTGACGACTACACCCGGTATTCCCTGGTCTACCTCATGAGGGCAAAATCCAACGTCTTTGAGCTCTTCAAGAAGTTCGTACCTTGGATGGAGATGCAGTCCGGGGGGCGTATTAAACGCCTTCATAGTGACAATGGCGGGGAGTATGTGTCATGAGAGTTCCTTCAGTACTTGGTGGATTGGGGGATTGAGCATGAAGTGACAATGCCCTACACACCCCAGCAGAATGGTGTCGTGGAGTGCGGTCACCAGACTGTCGTGACCCGTTGTAGAGACTCATGCCTCTCATGGCGTGACATGGCAGTTTCCACCAAGGAGTACATAGCACAAACTTGTAGCGTCACTCTGTGCGCTACCCACAGCTATGCCTATACAAGGCGCAGCTTTCCCGCGCAACGCGCACCATGCGCGCACACTTCCCGTGCTTCGCGATGTATATGCGCGCGCGCATTCCCGCACTTGAGCGCCCTATAGCACCAGCCATCCAGAAGCATCCATCCACTGTCCACCAAGCCCTCTAGCGTGTATATTTCCATTTCTTTTATTAGCATATCATTCCACCTTTATTTTTATCATGGTTTCTCACTCATATATATCTTTACATACCTACTCGGTAGCGCTTCGGCTCCGCATGACCACGCTTAGGCGTGCTATATAAGCGCCAGCAGTACATAGTACGGAAATTTTCCAACTTACTTTTCACTGAACTTTCACCTCTCACTTTACCTAGTACTTACTACCTAAAAAAAGTCGCAATAGAACTCTATTCCTTTACATCTCGCACTCTCACATCTCTTGCATCATATTATCACTTGAGTCTAGTCTATCTATCATTTCCGCATACGCGCGCGTGCTTTCCCGCGCTTCGCTAATACACGCATGCGTTCCCGCACCTGCGCTTTCTCGCACCTCACTTCAGCGCGTACCTCTAGATCTTCGCTGCACTTGCTTCCCTTTAGGGTTGAACGCGCTTGTCTCCTCAAGTAACGCAGACTAGGCAATGCACGACCTACAACATTTTTTAGATACAGTTTGGAGCATCATTTGTTCCTCTCAGTATTGTTGTTTCTACACTGTGCTCTCAGCTGCCACCACCAGAGCAGGTTCCCTCGTTCTTTCTGGGGTTGGGCGATCCTGAACTTGGCGCACATCAAGAATGTCCTTCCCTCCTCAGCCCTTGGTGGCCGTTCTCCTTTTGAGGCCTTCTATGGCCGCAAACCTGACATCGCCTACCTGCACCCATTCGGCTGCCTTGCTTACTCCCATATCCCTGATGACACCTGCCGCAAGTACGAGTTTGTCTCTCATCGTTGCTTTCTACTGGGCCACGTGCGGAATGCTGGCTATATCCTCTGGGACGCGTCAGCTAAGCGTGTTGTGTGGTCCCGTCATGTCCACTTTGACAAGTCCATCTTCTATGGTGACCCTACTTCATCTCCCCTACACTTGCTTGTGGGTGATGCTGACCCCATGCCTGTTGTCAGCTCTTCAGTGGGAGGCGCTCCTCCATCTGGTGAGCCGCCAGTGACCCCTACTGTCACTGCTGTGCCACAGGTGTCAGTGGGAGGAGATGGCCCACCAGATGCAGACACTCCACCAGCACCACCTCCTGATGCACCACCAGCCCTGCCTCCTGACACACCAGCACCAGCACCACGCCGAAGTGCACGCCCACGTCAACCAGCCCGTCAGACTGATCCGAGCGGACCCAGCACCACGGCAATACCCACCAAACGCATCCCAGTAGCCGAGCGCTGGACCTATGTCCCAGTACCCCCAGAGTCCATACCAGAGCCGAACGAGTCTGCAATGCACACATCAACTGACACACCTTCCACTCCTATACCTCCCAAACCCATCATACCAACATCCATCGACAAGGCACGATCCCTACCCAAGTGGCCATTGTGGTCAGACGCCTGCAAGTCAGAACTGCAATCCATGCAGGACTTGAAGACTCACCGCCTGATGCCACTTCCAGAGGGTAGAAAGTCCATTGGATCCAGGTGGGTATTCTCTGTGAAGACTGATGAGGACGGCAACATCACTCGGCACAAGGCCTGCTTCGTTGCACAAGGCTACACTCAGATTGAGGGGATCGACTACACGGAGACCTTTGTAGCCATCGCTAAGTACGACACTGTCCAAATCCTCCTCGCACTTGCTGCAAAGTTTGACCTTGAGCTGGATCAAATGGACGTACATACAGCTTTCCTTAATGCTGAACTCAAGGAGGACATATACCTCAAGCAGCCAGCTGGCTTCGAGGACACGGAGCATCCGGACTGGGTTTGGAAGTTGGAAAAGGCACTATATGGGTTGAAGCAGGTGGGCTATGAGTGGAATCAGATGCTTGATGAGTATCTGCAGAAGGAAGGTTTTAAATTCATTCGAAGCGAGGCTGATCACAGCCTGTACGTCCTCCATGAAGGAGACAGAGTTATCTGGCTCGTCGTATACGTCGATGACATGCTTGCCACATCGAATTCGCGTGACTACCTCAACTCCTTCAAAGTATGACTCAAACAACGCTTTGACCTCGCAGATCTCGGTCCCGCCAGACACTTCCTCAGCATGCACATCACTCATGATCACGAGAAACACCTCCTCTCCATCAGCCAAAAGACCTACCTGGAGAAGATCCTGGAAAACGCAGGAATGTCTCAGTGTAATCCTGTTGGCATGCCCATGACTCCAGGAACCATACTCTAGAAGGCCGCTCGAGCCCCCACTGAAGACGAGGCAACCACCATTGCATCCATTCCCTACCGTCACACTATTGGTGAGCTTAACTATGCCATGAGGACAACTCGTCCTGACATCGCATTTGCTGTGTCTTGTCTCTCTCGCTACATGGAGAATCCCGGCATAGAACATCACCGTCAGCTTAAGCACCTGCTTCGGTACATCCATGGTACAACAGACCTCACCCTCGTCTTTGGCTTAAATGATGAGGGCCTCATCGGCCACTCTGACTCAGACTATGCTGCGGACCATGATGATAGTAAGTCTACCAGTGCATATGTCTATCAGCTGTTTGGTGGCCCCATCAGCTGGAAGGCGCAAAAGCAGTCCGTCGTTGCAACGTCCACGACAGAAGCAGAGTATATTGGACTCTCAAATGCCTCCCGCGAGGCGCTATACCTCATCCAACTACTGCATGACTTCCGCGTTGACCCGGACCTATATGATCCTCCTCTCCTCTATGGTGACAATCAAGCTAGTCTTGCCCTGTCCAAGAACCCCAAATTCCACGAGAAGGCTAAGCACATCCGCGTCCATTACCACCTCATCCGTAGTCTCGTCGACGCTAACCAGATCAAACTCGAATACAAGTCAACGTCGGAAATGCTGGCTGATAGCCTCACGAAGGCACTGCCTCACCCAGCCGTGGTGCGACACCGAGAGGAGATGGGACTTTGTCGTCCGGTTGGTCCGACGAGTGGGAGTGTCAAGAGCAGCTTACAGCATACGCCTAACCACCCAGACGTCACGACAAGTGACATATATATATCAGAGACATCTTACAGTACCTGATTCCTTTTCCTGTTATTTCCCGTCTTTCCATTCCTACTTAAGACATCGAGCACCCATCAACTCACCTCAGTCCCTTTACCCGTGACTGAGGTGAGTACTGCTGGTTCCTTCTCTTCATTATATCATTGTACTCACTATGTATATTCATAGGCTCGTGTCTAGGTTCGTAGTAGTACACCAATTGAGTCCCTTTACCCGTGACTGAGGCTCGTGTCTAGTTCTCACCTTTAACATAAAGCTCTCCTCAATCGGATTGAAGTCTGGGGAGTATGGCAGTAGAAAAATAAGTAAGCAACCTATGAATGTGTCAGACTTGCAGGCAAAGCAAAGTAGCATTTAGCAAACCAGATGCCTCTACAGCTTCTCGTAAAGCGTCACTCTTGTGAGTGGAACAGTTGTTGAGGACAATTACACTGTTGGGGCCAGGGAATGGGTTCATATTGGGCAACTACAGCAGATTCAATCAGCGAAAATTCAGACAGTGAAAAGAATGCACTTGCTACATCGTTAACCACAAAATCGTAGAACTCCGCACTGTCTACAGATCCCTCAATGACTCAGACAGTCAGATAGCCATCAATAGTGAGAGCTGGCAGCACACTGTATCAAATGCCCCTGTTTAAGCGGACACTGTCAAAGGGGGCTTGTCCACTGAGAGACCAACCATATCTAGGAAGTACGGTGCGGTCATCTTTACTTGACTCGTCCAGGAACACGAGCTGTTCAGCTGTATAGTTCACTGTCATGTTGTGCAACCAATCGGCTCGAAAACCGTCATCACATTCTGCCACTATCCTGCTCAAGCATTTGTAGGCAAGTCCAAGGTCCCTGAGGTTGTGGTAAAGAGCTGGTATGGATATTGGCTGATCATGATATATGGCAAGCCATTCGCTGATCTCATCAAGTGGTAGAGATGGGTTTTCAGCTCGCAGCTCGCAGATCTCATCCTTCATAATTTGATCCAACAAGCAAGGGCGGCCCATGATTGGTGAGTGAGGGTTAACACATCCATTTTCATTATAATTTGCCTCCCACTGCTCTATACTTCTCGATGACACTCCAAGAACATCAGCGATGCACTCGATCTCCCACCCTTCCTCCAAAAGTAGGTACAGAGCTCGTTCTTTTCGATCCGGACTGATCCTCTGATAGACCATGGTGAGCCTGAGTGAGAATCTTGTGCGATATGACGTGTTTGAAGGCGTACAGAGGTGTATACAACTCGAAAATGATTTAATTGAATTTTCAACATTTCTACTATTTTTGAACCACCACAAACACGTGAGTCAAGAAAGGACTGTAAGTAAATGTGCCATTTCAGTACAGATAGTGGAGGACATCCAGGAAATGGACACTCTGGGGCCAAATCTGCGGCGGACTCTGGGGCCAAACTCTGGGGCACCTGTTTGTTTCAATTGGAGTTTTAACATCATGCACACGTAATCACAGCCACCCCACCGTCAGCCACACCGATGCAATCTCACCACCACAGCCACCCTGCCACATCGACACAATCTCTGTCAGCTACCACTATGTCAATAATGCCACCTGACCCAGATATCAGCAACCTGTTGACCTCACTCCAAGGGCATCCAGCACTCACCCATATCTCATTTGTTGACCTTGCGAGTTTCATGCGCCATGCTAACTTACTAAAGGACAATATCCTCCAACCACAGCCACATAATGTCTCCATCGAAGAGGGGCTGGAGGGCAGGTGGGTTGGTGGGCGGTCAGGAAACACAGGAAGGGGGCAGATAAGAGAGAGTAGTGAGCATGGCATTGTCATAAGGTAGACATGGGGCGGAGTATGAATGCAGTATTCCAACAACAGCTGCATACTGGCAGGCAGTGGCGGGCAGGTGGGAGACACTGATCATTGATGATCAGCAATGAGCAGGCTGGGCCTTGTCATCAAACAGCATTTAAACTCAGCTGTACTCTGCCGGACTTGCCGATGGGCCCCAGAGTCAGGCCCCAGAGTCTGCCCCAGATTTTGGCCCCAGAGTGTCCAACTCCCTGACATTCTGGGATAGTGCTTGATATTTCTGTCGAGGTGTGTACTCTATTGTCTTACCAGCAGCGCGACTGTAGCAACTTCTTCATTTATAGTTGCAGGCATTTGCAGTCAAAACAAATGCTTGCACATAATGTGGTGTCACAGAGATATTTATCTAGTTTCTAGCACTGGCCACCCTAAGATGACTCGACGCTCAAGTTGGCGATTAGTATGCTGTGCAATCACCAACTGCACGAAATTAAACAGTCCCATCTACGCACCTTCGGCACGCATGTGATGGTGGCCTTCATTTGAATTCAAGCACCCTCGTTTTATACTTGCATCGCCAATCTATACTTGTACGGGGAAGCTACTACAACGCAGATACCCCTCTAACAGGATCTTCAAGTACTTTTCCCAAGTACTTTTCCGCAGACAGTAACTTCCTTCGCGACCAAGAGCAACAGTTCAATGATATCTATATGAACTTTGCTTGGCGGTGTAGCCATCTTCAAGTCTACTGTCGACTCACGGCAAGTTGCCACTGCCAGAGCCGCCATAATGCATTCAATTTCTAGTGGTCTCAGTTCTTCCACCACCACGGTCAATTTTTGTAACATTGGGAGATGAAACCCATCAAGTATGTTGATAAATTCCTGTCGATCCGATGTGAGGGGAAGAGTCATTGATTTGAGGCGAGGTTGTGCAACAGTGTCAATTCTATCACCAGAACCTAGGGAATAATCATCCACTATCATGGTCTCTAGATGAGGAAAAATCACAGAAGTGAAGCATATAGCGTTGACGGAAGTGTGTTGAAGGTGGAGATGACCTATATCTTTACAGATAGGAGCAGGTTTGGCAGGAAAATCACTTCGATTGAAGATGTGTAGGCAATGGAGATTTGGTGCATTGAATCTCCTGAACTCTCATGGAAAACATTTTATGTTCTCAACCGAGGTGTATCGATGTTACCACTCCAGTCATAAATGGCAGGTGACATGATAGCCACCATCTCCCATCGCCCCCTTACAGAAAGCAATATTTCAAGCAGTCGACAATCCGCCTCTGATTGGTATGGGTGGAGCCATGGCAAGCATCTGGCTTCCAGATCGTGTGAGTAGCAGAGCTGCTCAGACACGATACTAAGGCTGAGCAGACGACATCCTGAGCGGGCGAGCCAAACCTCCAGTAGAGATGGAAGGAATAGTTTCAATGGTTGAATTCGGCCAGGAAGTGCAACATGGATGCACGACCAGATTGCTGTTGTTGAATGTGCAATATCTCGCCAAAGGCGACACACGCGAGTGAGGAGTAGGGGAGGACTGGCAACAATGGCTGAGATGCATGTGTCTCCAAATGAGAATATATTGGGGTTTCTTTGAACATTGTTTAATGTGAGCAGAAATACTTGCTGTAGGAGTTCTACTGGCAGGCAATTGATAGGAGGAGTTGGATAGCTCATTCTTGTGACTTCTGCTGGATTTTTGTTTGTTGTAGAGAGGAATTAATATAGGAGTCAGTCGACCCACCACTAGGCAAATAAACCCAAATATTCAACCAAGCTTGAACTATACTGATGATGGTCAAATGCATATGCACACTTCATTCTGCCCTGCTACGGTCAGTCTCCCTCTTACATAAATCCATTTGCATTCTAGAGTATACAGCCTATCTAAACAGGTATTATGCAGATAAAGCAAAAGTATGCAAGGGGAGTACCCGTAGGGATAGGAGCTTCGGTTACGTCAGACTAGACTCGTGACCAGTCCGTCTAACGTTAGACCCGGCCGGATGTTCCAAACAAACCTAAACACCCCATATTTTAAGTTCACTTCGAGTTGGCTCTCTCAAACTATTAGTTACTTATCAGCTGGTGGGTCATACTGCAAAGATCACACCAAAAGCTGACGACCAACACAGGACTCTTCTACTTACCACGACAGGCCAGCATATTCACCGTATCTTAGGGCGTCCTTCTTGTTTCGCAGACACCACGATGATTCCGCGAATCTCCAAGCGGTATGCTAGTACTGTCAAACACAAACCTTGCAAGGGTACAAAGGGTGTATATGGCGTAACACCGGAGCATCAACCCATATCGCCAGAGGAGCAGGCACGCATCATAAAGTGTCGCATCGAGAAGGCCGAAAGAGATGAGCCTATGGACATAACCATGGCATTGACTCCAGTCAAGACGTGAGTATCTTTGTTGTGTTGTTCCTCAGTCTGTAAGTCCATGGATACGACGCCTTACCATGCCAATGGAGGCTCGCTTGCTGGTTTGGCTCCATGATGTCATTAACGATATTCTTGGAACCGTTATCGCCCGCGCCACCTTGAGTCTCCATTTGTCCTCGCTTGCTCATATATTTTCTCATCATGCTCATATTTTTGTCTCGATCCTAATTATTCCGCTCTTCACCAGGTACATGGGAGGTTTTACCCACTCCCGCGACTTACGTGCTCTGTATTGGTCGAAGGATAGCCCCTACGATGAACAGAAGAAGTCATATGAAACACCCTCTCCTGCAGCTTACGTCCCTCACACCGTTTGGCAACAAATCCGAGCCTTCCACTCATCAGCGCGTCGCCCCTATCCCTCCGAGTCGTACAACGAAGAACACGTTGTCCCCAACTTTTACATCAAGCACAAAAAAGATCGCAAGCACCAGGTGGACAAGCTGATGAAATCATCTGTCACACCGTCAACCACTTCTCCATCCGCCACGGATACCGCTGGTCTTGATGTTGCAGCTGCTGAAGAAGCTATTCACGATCCGACCCGACAAACCAAAGCCGTGAAGAGACGCAAGCATGAGGAGTCTGCACTCATGGAACATCTCTCAGACTCTATTCTTGGCGACGACCTTGTGGCCAGCACACGTCGCCTTGTCAGCAAGATCCCTGTCGAGCACTACGACAATGATGGCTTTCTTGTGCACCCGAGCGGGTTTGTCGTTCCTGGAAAGGGTCACACCAGCACTAGTGATGCTGCACGTGCCAAAGAGCACGCGAGAGATGAGGATGAAGAACGCGCTGCACAGACAGCCTCAGTAGCTGAACGCGTCCTCGAATCCGACTTCGATCATGTGCATTCTGCCATGGCGAGTACGCGCCCGCGTTCTCATAAGGTTCCCTTCGAAATTAGGGAGCCTGACGGGACGGTGAAACACCCGAGCGGCTTCGTTCCTCCAACTCCCGCCGACGAGTTCAAGTATTCTGACAGTGCCAGTCTTGAACGGGGCCTTGCGGGTGCTATCAGCAGACAACGCGCCCGTGATGTGGACAACAAGAACTCCACAATCATAAAGGGCCGTCGCCTGCACACCACAGCCGTTGTGCGTGCAAGCGAGGTGGCGATTCCAACCCATCTCATGCAGCCTGTGCCTGCTCCTGAGATTAACTCTCAGGCTTCATTAGAGCTCTCCGAAAGCGAGCCAGACCATGTTGGCGCTATTCGCGCCAAATACCTTCCAACCCTTGCACAAGAGTCTTTTTTTCGACCCCACGCGGTAGAGCAAGACAATTCTGATGTGCTTGTGGAAACGAGGGGAGCCGGAGAAGCGTAAGGTGGAGAGGAGGCTCGTGATTGTTACGAGATTGTTGGCGAAGGTCGTGCTGGGAACGGAATGGGTTGTGTTGCTCTACAGACGGCTGGTCATAGAGATTGTATTTGTATCATACCCATCATCACACTTGTGTTCTTACAGTACCATTCAAATCTTGTTTACATTCGCATGCATTCATTGTAAATGATATTCGCTGCCAGTGGGCGATGATATTCTAAAGTGTGGTCGTCATTTTAGTCATTTGTCCTGAACTGATATCAGTGAGTCAAATTATGGATACTGGGTCAGTAAGCTTCAGTACTGAGCATTTCACCTTTTGGTGTAACGCTTATGCACGTGCGGCGCTCTGACCAAGTTACAGTATATCAAATCCAAGATGTTGTTCAGCTCCAGAGATAAGTAGGTATTGTGGCTTCAGCGCTGGCGTACATGGAGACTTGATAGTATATACTATATAGTATATTGACAAGATCATGCAATGAGTAACTATGGATAATAAATAAGGTGCACATTGCACAAGTATGGCCACCGTATATATACAACAAGAGCAGTTTCGAAACTGGGATAGCAAGCTCGATCCTTCAGTTCAAGTGCGTTAAATATGTGGTTCTATGCTGTCAGAATGGAGGATTTGGAATTCCTGAAAGGGGTGGAGCTGGTTCACCCGAGGGAAAAGTTTTGAGAAAAGTATCTCAAAATCAGAGGAATAAGCCTGTCGTATGTATTCCTCATCACGAGGGTACTTCAGTGTGAGATCTTTCAATCTACTATCCGAGTTACGTGGCCTGAGGGCGTGTAGGCTTGCCTTGTCCATGTCATAGTCATCATCTATGGTACTGAGCGTGATACCAATGCAAAGTCGCTTCAAGCTGGGGCGCAGCTCGACAAAACCGACAACCTCGGGCACTGTAATCCACTGTGGCATAGGTGCCGCGCTAGACATGCTCCCATCCGTCTTGTTGAGGAGTAACACCTCAAGGAAGTGCCATGCTTCTGCCATTTCCACCAGATCATTCGCACCGATGCTAAGACATGATCTCGTGTCAATGTCCACAACCCGAAGTTGGCTGAGGTGGAAGAGTGACCGTATGGTGTCGATGGTGATGATTATACTGGATGACAATCGGCAGGGTATGGGTTCGGATAAGTGTATGTATTGCAGGTTCTTGAAAGCCTCGCGCACGTGGAGCGAGTCACAAAGTACCTGGAGTAGGCTTGGATCAAACTTTACCTCAGATCGAAGTGCAATTGAGGTGAGTTTATGAGGCCACAGATATGTGAAGACTTCAACGTCTCGCCATTCTTTGATCTCCCAATCAACGCTGTCAACGTTCTCAAAGAGTTTTGGGTTGCGGGATGAACCAAGAATATCTTCGAGGATACTGCCAGCGGGCAGATGCGAACTGATGTTGGTAACAGATGGTAATCCACCCAGATAAACTAGCGCATCCTTTGTGATGGCTGGCACGGTAACTGTCCGGAGCTTCGGCATTTTTTGGATAGCATGCGACATTGGTAGAACGAAAGGCGGTTCCCGTTCGCGAAATAGGTGGTAGGATTTTAAAACCACCAGGCTTTCAAGCGATGGACAATATGAGGGCAAACATTGGAGGACGGTGTGCAAATGGTGGCCATTTTTTTCGTAATCGCGGACGTTGATGAAAAAATGCTGTAGACGTGGGCCAAGCAGCGGGGGGACCAGATGTAGCAATCCGCATGGAAATCCAATTTCCAAGCTTCGTAGGTTTGGCACCAGAACCTTGAAAGAGCCCGCCATAGTTCGTAGAAACGCTTGTGTGATATAATCACGCCGCCAATAATTCGTACCCACTCTTAAAGACCGGACACGATGACCATGGCGAGCAATAATGGCAAGCTGAGTCTCTGTTGGGATCTGTGACAACAATGAGCCATGTGTATTTCTCCTAGAAAAAGACTTACGATGGGGGAGCATTGGTCCTCTTGCAGGCTTTTTTGCGGGGCTGGAATAATCCCAGGACATCGCATGAGGGGTTCGACACCTTTGAAGTTGTTCCACAGAGCATCCAATGCTTGCTCCGAGAATGCGCGACAAGTCAGTGCAAGTGCGAATAATGTGGGTTTAGAAGATGTGACATATTCAAATGGCCAGACGCCAGGACGTTCGTCGACGCTGATATGACTTATGATGTTGGATAGAATTTCAGAGATGAGGAGAGCGCGATGCATTGTGTTGACAGAGGACATTGCTGAAGCCATTAGGAGCGGGAAGGTGGAATGAATCTGAAGGGGCGTTTCGGTCCCAAGGGTATTTTAAATCGAACCGCGATGTAGAAAGTCCACAGGGAGAAGTAAGGACAATGAATAACATGATAATAAACAATCCGAGAATATCAGAATTATGTGAGCCGTGACATGCTAAATAGGTGGGAAACACCCACTGCTATTTAGTGCTAGCGTATTGCGCTCAAGGTGATGCAACATATAGCGATGCTCCGATCTGGGGGTCACCGGACAAGTGATGACTTCCACGAGTAAGCACTTGTTGAAGCTTGAAGGTTGTTGTCGAACTTGATATATGGAAGCCTGATGTAGAGAGCGATGGTCCTGGCTTCCATAGATGTGAGATTTGCCTTGATGGAAATGTGAAGTCGCTTACTAGTGGACTGAATCGATTCACTGACTGGCACGATGACTACTACACCACAGATACATCCCAAGGCATCTCACAGGGAGAGAACAATTTCATGACCCACGTTCTGTTTCCATCTTTGCGTCACGGTGTTCAGGTAAGGGTCGAATGATACAAGAAGGATAACTTTATTAAAGTCTCCTAACACCCTGCGGGATGTAGGTATCTCGGGAGAAGTTGCCCTATCAATTAATCGAGATTCAAACCAGTCGGATATGAATTGATGGCGTGTAGCCCAAGGGAAAACGTGTTTACAAGCATGTCCAACCTCGACTCGAAGTGGTGAGAATCCAATATATGTTGCTCAGCGCGAGGGAATCTCAACACAAGATATTCTAAGATATCCAAGTCACGGCCCACGGGGCTGGCGGTCATGTAAGGTATCCAAGTCCAAGTCCAGGTCTACATTATTGGCAGGCTGAGCGTGAGATTAATGCAGAGTTCCGTCAAGCGAGCATACGAGGACACACCTTGACGAATCTGACGACCCCGGCCGATATAACATGCCGGGATTCCGGATCATGTCACCCATACGTCTTGTTGAAGAGCAAACGGTTGGCCTCAAGATAAGGCCAAGCGTCTGTCAGTACCGTTTGCTTCATGAAGTCATCTTCGAGTTCATGCCAATAGACGACCCGGAATCGAATTCCACAAACCGAAGGACACCGAGATAGAAGAGCAGTAGCATGCTCTCATTTGTGATGGTGGTGAAGAAACCGATGGGGGAGGATTCTACGCCCTGCAGGTTCCTGAAAATCTCGTTGGTAATGAAGTTAAAGCGTTCCTGCAGTACTAGGCCTGGGTTAAATTTGGCCTCAGGTCGTTGAAGTGACATCGCAGTGGCGTCGGTGATTTTGCAAGGCTCTAGAGATCTGAATATAAGTTTCAGCCACATCCCTTTTAGTGACGTGTCAATTGAAAGCCAGCTCGAGCTCGTATACTAAGCGCTTCGCAGTCTCTTCTTCAATTAATAACTTCTACAGCTAAGTACTCTTCAATTGCAAGTATTCCAACATGTCCGTCACCATTCCTACAGGCTCATATATAATCATGAATGCCATGACACACACCTACTTGGATATGTTCAATTTTCAGGTTGTTCCGCGTGACATCGTTAAGAGTGTTGGAAATACCCTAGGAAATGACATTGTGCCCGTACTCGTTCCTCTCCTTCGACCAGTCAAACAAATCCGACACCTCCGCTAGCAGCGTCATCACTGGCCACTCGATCTATCCGTGAAGTTTGCAACGAAACAATGTAGTCCCATATGCCTGGAAGTGGGTGACAAGGTTCCTCTCTACAACGAAAGTGAGGTTACATTCTCGAACACAATATCGTCAATAAGAACAGTGGAAAGGCGCTGGTTGTACACAGTGACTCTATCACGAACAACGTACGTGGCACGAGTGGTCTTCGAATGTTTCTTGTAAAGCATGTTCCTCATTAATATTTTTGTCGGGTTCTCGAGGCTGACAATATAAATAACCCAAGCCGAACTTAGCCTCTTATCGCAAAGGAACCCATAACTGGTATCAACTAGTTGCTATCCAATATCGAGATAGCTGACGTACTCGGAGATGTGAACATAGGCGAATTTGAGGAACTGAGAAGGGCCGAGGCACGGTGACTTCACATATCACCATGACAAGTATGAGATGTATCAGCACCGACTTGCTCTATGGAACGTGAGTTCAATATTTTTTCGAGCTAATAATCGCTGTATCGCGCTCGTGTTGCTTGACAGCGATATCAGATCTGAAGTTCAGAGCTCCTCCCAAATTGTCAAGGTGCAGCCTGAGCGTCAAGTGGTCACGCCGGGCGGAGCACACCTGTCAAGCTTCTGACGTATTGAAGGTAGAACGATCTCGACAGATCACTCGTTGAAGAACCCTTCAGTCACATCGAAGATTCTAGGGGGTCTATTGTATGGCTTGTCGGTGCTACGCACATGCGCCTGTTTAACATCAAGCTCGCCGTTCCTCGCTTCACCGCAGTAGTTTGGTATCGTCATATCCCTGAATCAAGTATCCTGGGCCAGTATCGGTCGTTTTCTTGGTCCACTCGCATATGCCCTTCTGCGCTTGACCATCACAATGGCTACTCCGAGTCCACACACTTTACATGGCATTGTTTGGAATTTAGGACGGGTTTTTTTTTCACAATGGCAAGTGAAAGTACTGCCGATACGGTGCTTTCATCGCCAGTCCAGATGCTGATCTCCCAGTCACTGTTCACGCTTTTGGGCACAATCCTACCCCTGCTCAGGACGGGATCCACTTCATCACTACGAGAATAGTCTCTGTTTGTGCATTGCAGTGCCTTTACCCATCTAAAACTGTCATACACTAGTACTCATATCTGTGTTATTTTCCCTCAGGTGTGTCAATCGACTTCATGCAGGTAAACATGTCCTGTCGAATTCGGGTGCATCTCTCCGGTTCAAAATTCGATTGCAATAGGTAATGAGGACGTGAGGAATCTGGAAATACCGAAAGTCGTGATACATCGCTGCAGAAAGCGTCTCCTAGTAACGCTACTGCTTGTGGTTGAAATACTCATCGTTATTTCTGAATCGTCGCGGCGTCAGTGACTCTAATGCGTTCGCTAATTAACTCCATAGACGTCATAAAAATCACTCTCAATCCAGGTATTTGGCACAAAAGCCATCATATTATGATAATGTCAGCGCAGTGTGTACGAGAAGGTATATAACGTAACTTCCGAATCAAGAAAGAAAATCAGGGAAGACAAGGCAACTAGAAGAATGTTCGTCTTATGAGCAAGGAAGGTACAATGCGGAAGAGAGCGTGGAAGCGAACGCAAGCGAGATCTTAGGGTATACGGAGCGACGATTTGTCCAAAAACAAACTGGGATCCGACTTTCACCGCCTGGCACTGCCACGACCATAGCCAGCTTGGAGGTTGTCGAGCTCGGCCTCCAGCGACTTGATGGCACTATGTGCCATCTCCAGGTCCTTGTTGAGACGGTCCCGTTCGGCGATAAGCTATGGAACGTTAGATAGTGTCGCAATGGGTTAGAATTCACTCACGTGTTGCTCCCATTGTCTGAAGCGGGCTTCTTCGGCCTTGACCTGTTCCGTAAAGCGCTTCCTGAGCAATTCTTCCTCCTCCTTGAACTTAGGATTGTCCACTTTCTTGACCTTGGGTTCGCCAAACTTCCTCGTCTCCATCTGTTGTTGCCTGTAGTTCTCGTAGTGCAGCTCCTCCGTCGTCGAGATGAGGTCGAGCATGTGCGTACGGATAAGTAGAGAGCGCAACTTGCGGAAATCACAGTGGTTTTCATTCTCAACTTCAGCAACACCCCAAAGGTACTCGCGACCCTTGACAAGGCGACCATCAGGAGTCTGGACATCTTCAGTTGAGCCAATAATCGAGAAGGGGATAGCGTCCGTGAGCATGCGCGCATGCTCAGCAGCAGTCTCGTCATCGTTTTCAACGGGGGGTTGGTAAATGCGAATTCCCTGAGCGGCGATGACCTCCCGGACGCGTTGTTTAAAAGAAATAGATCATTTTGCGTGAGAGTGTCTGCTTTCGCAACAACAGGGATAAGGTTCACACGCGTGCCGAGGCGCTTCATGATTTCGATATCAAGCGGCTTCAGGCTAAGAATCTAGTCAGCGTTGGTAATGATTCAAAAATTTATATCGACTTACGTGTGCCCGGTGGGTCGGATGAAGTAGAGGCAAGCGTGAACTCTGAGGTCAATCTTTTCGTGGCGCTGAGGCTGCTGCTCCTGGCGCATATATGCCTCGTGTTGATCATCAATGAAGTCAACAATTGGCGACCAGGAATCACGGTTGTTGACATAATCACCAAAACCGGGGGTGTCGATGACGGTAAGTTTGACCTTGAACTGCTTTTCCTCAAGCTCAGCCTTGATGATTTCGACTTCGGTGAGCTTGTCGAGTTGTTTGTGGTGGCGCCTGCTGTAGTTCCTAGCAGGAGACAACTCAGTCGTGAAAAGCGTGTTCACTAAGGTCGTTTTCCCGAGACCCGACTCGCCTGGCGCGTAAACAGGTAAGCTAAAAGGCCTATCTCATTATAAACGCATTGTACTCACCAACAACCATCATGGTGAAGTGTGCACCATGTTTGGCGACGATTTTGTGCCTCTAGATTGCGTGGAAGGAGACGGTGGTCAGTAAAAATGAGACAAATGTCAAGACAAACTCCTCACCTGGTTGGGAAGGTTGGCGATACCAATGCCATCAAACGAGGGTGCTGGTGCAGATGACATGACTGACTTTATGTTCTTGCTCGACGACAACGACGGCACTGACAGGCGACAATAGCTGAGGCGAAATTACCGACTTTTGATATTGCCAATTTGGCGTTGTTTGGTTTTATTGGTATTACTTGCCACACTAACCTTATAGGTACTAGTTCTCCTCATCGTTCAGAACCCTCAGTAACGAGAGTTCAACGTTCAACGGGCATACTGAGGTCTTACAAAACAACGATGTTTTTGGTACACAGCTACTTGAAGTGTTCAGCAGACGAACCCTGCATGAATTATCCGGTGGCGACTGGGGCATGAGGAAGCCTCTGACAGGACGCTGTCACGACGTGGGGGTGCAAGAAGTTCATCTACTAAGGCTGACAATCGTAAGTAACTTACATAGTTACATTAATTACCGACTCACGACATTAATAATCATATATCAGACATGATGACAACCCGCTGCCCTTGTATGTATTCGCTCATCGATGCATCCGTCCTTCGCATTGTCTCATCTTGAGTATTTTGACACACAAACACCCCAACAAATGCGACCGCGATCTCAGTCTTATCATCATTTACGATCAGGCTCAAATAGAGTCTCGTCTGCTATAGTAGACACAGCTTAAATCCCAGCACACACCTGATTCTGGAGGGGAAGGAATGACCACCAGGTGAACTGCTTTCGTCAAGCATGTCCTTGATGGTTCTGGGAGGTTGAAATGCTCGTGTAGGCTGAAGGGGCGGATAGCGTACTTCTGATTTAATCCTGCCAGTCTTGCGTCCGCTCTCATGGCGTACGCCGCTTACCAATGACCACGACAAGTGGGGCTATGGATATGTTGCTTCTTCAGTTTGAAAGGGGTACGCTCTGTGACATACCAGAAGGGTTGCGTTGCCATACCTTCAGTCCTTTCATACAATGAAATCATATGCTGTGCGTTAGTGAGTCTTGTATTCACAACTCTGCCTCGTCCTATGAGCTTTTTGTCGACTTATGGACCCCCTCACACAGTTGTCAACCATTATACAGCACAGACAAAACTTTGTTGAACTGTAATTCATGATCGAACTGAGTACACAAAGATCGATACCGGTTTATCCGTGGCCACCGACTGTTTCCGTTGCGGAGTGTTTCTCGCGGAGTATGGGCAGTTCTCGTCCCCGATTCATCATTCCGGTTGCGTATGACTGATTATAAATTCTTCGCCGTGGTGCGTGGTGTGGGCCAAGTGATGAAGGGGTGGACAGCATTAATATAAATTGGTAAATGCATCACCCATATTTTACTTGGTGTTAAGAATTGAATTAACGTAGACGGTCATATTAGCAAAACACCTTGTGTGCATGCTGTGAGATCGCGTCCAAGTCTTGCAACAATTTTTACAACTGAATCTTCGAAGGGTATCAATCACTGAATGCTTAGCAGTAGCCCGCACAGTTATCACAATGGAATCAAGGACATTGCCCGGTGCGTAAAAGGTATCATTCCGACTTAACACTGCCCGTCCACGGGATTCAATTTACCAGATGTACATTAGAACGCCAGTGCAACTGTAGCGCATTACGCACACTGCTAGTGAGAGCATGTCCTTCCACATGGCAAGGGCTGCGCTCCACAGCTGTAGGAGACTGGACTAAGTTTAAGCCATTCCGATAATAATCATGTCGCAGAATGCAGTACCTAGAAGTTCAGATGTGGACGATGATATAGGAGCCCTTCGTCTCTTCTCCAAGAAATGTAAAGTCCCAGGATAGTACAACATTGTTGGTCGCATCCATTTTGACACTAGCGACCCCAGACGCCAGGTCTCCAGGCGTCCCATCGAAGTCGATTTTGATGCCGCTGCTGAACTTGAGAGCACCCATAGTCTGGGTGAGAAGGAGGGGTCCAACAATGGGCAAATCTACATAGATTTGAACTGCGACAATCGGGGCATTCGTGTCGATGGCAATGTCAACCTGAAATGAAGGTTACAAACCCAGTCCTAAGGGATGGATGAACACCGCCGATAACATGGACTGACCTCAAAAGGGTCAACGAGAATCTTCCTGACTACTACGACGCTGTCGACAGCAGAAGTCTGAAGTACGTAGATGACTTGTCCGTCACCAAGCTTCACGTTCTCAATGCATTCTCTACAAAACTTCAGGTGCATTGCGGAATATTAAGCTCATGCTCTACACGCTATCAGACACACTCACGAGTGATATCTATGAAACCGTAGAATGAGCATTGACCTGAGGTACTCGAACAATATGATAAGTACTTTCAGCGTTTCTGAATGCGCTGTCTGCGGCGGAAAAGACCTTGCCAGAAGCAATCGTCATCGAAGGGAAGGTGAGACTGAGCATATCGTAAGTATGTCTATGTGTACGAGTGTAATCAGGCTAGACGATGGGACTGCAGTTTACAGTTCACGATAAGCAGACTTTATACCATGAGGGCATGGTGATTACAACGAACAACTGGAGGTACCTTGATGAGGAAGTAACTGAGCAGAATTGCACAGTGAAGCCACCAGGCCGCCAAACTTCATCAGTGTGCGACCTAGAACAGTGTATGCAACTACCACTTTTCCTGGACCTACAGATTAGCTCCGAACAGCCAAGTTCTTGTTCGGCTGCGCTTGGAAATTGTAGACGCTAGACATTGACGGGGGAGTGCCCTGTACATCCGTATTCCACTAGCGGTGGAGGTGCCTCCTTTCGTATCCTTCTTCGCCTTGCACGTTCGACTGACAACCTAATAGTAGAAGTAACAAGACAACGATGAGAAGGGCAGTTCAAACCTTTAATATTTAGTCGATGCCTGCTGCGTGCCTTTCGAAGTTCGCTATAAGGTCTATCAGCTGCCCAGAACAATCAGATTATGAAACTAGATCATAGCAAGTATGATGATCAGAAGATACGATGTAATTTTGTTGTCCTTCCACATGCACGTTCCAAGTTCTTCAGAGATCGGGGTCATCTCAGATCTGAGGTTAGGACAGCTATATTGAAATTTCTAGAGGATCAGTTGCCCGTCAACTAGTTCGAAATGTAAGCTAAGCTCGGCAATGCTCGCCGTAGGCACGATCAAGGAGAAATACGTCGGGACCATGCAGCTCCCCGGACCGCCCCATCTCGAACCTGAACGAGTTCCCCGACACTGTGCTTGTTTGACGAGCGATGTTTTATCTGAACATTACTGTTGGGCTAGACGAAGACTCTGTCACAGTTGATGTGAATCATGTGGTGGATAGAGTTCTGTTATGGAAGATAGATATATTGCTACTTACGTGACTACAGTGCTGACTAAAGTGACAGAATGGGTTTGTTTCCTGAGTTCCCCAAGCCAACCGTGACAATGCTCGCAGCCGCAAAGTAACCTGTATTACTGCCGCGATACGTCAAAATCGATTCAAGGACGTTGAAAGATGTGGCCGAGGTACCAATCGATTGAATCCACCTATTCTGGTACGGCCTGTGAGCTTCTCGCCACTTTCTCAGGTCAGGTAAATGTGTATGGCGAAAGAAAGGCCTAATTGGATAACAAATATTTGATGGTACAGGGCATCCCCTTCTTCTGACAGTGCGCTAATAGCAGTCCTTGGACCGCTAGTCCATTGCTTACAGCCCGTAGTAAGAGGCTGACTGACCATCAGCCTGAGTGGGAAGTACTACTGATCATGATGGTATCTTTCTTCGAAGGACATACAGTAGCTCGTAGAGCCTCATCAACAACGCTGTTGGTGCACGAAATGAAGAGGTACAGAAGATGTGTTAATCGAATCTACTAGTAAGTTAGTAACGGCTTCAAGTTGTACCCTTCTCGTCATTATTTTGTCAGATTCTCATGTATGGCGAGAGACGGACCCAATCGGGTAACACCGCTGCAGATTTTTGAAGGTACGAGGCACTTTCTCTGTCAGTGTGCTATTGCGTGTGCACGCGTGGCGGAAAAGATAATGGTTGCTCCTCATGTCCAGGCTTTCGTCGGGCGGTGCTACTCTCATTGCCATTGTCAGCATAACTCCCGTAACCACGATGTGCTCATGCTATAAAGTCTGCGAGTCGTGAACGTTGAACTGCAGTTTTCATTTTCTATTCTAGCCCGAGTATCATCACACTCGCACACATACAATATGTAGAGTCTCACTTCCCTTCGAGGATAATTGCCCCTGGCAAGATATCTTTTGCCACTGATAGTGCAGTCAAAAATGCTGAAGGTGATTGTATTCTGAATTTGAAGTACCTCGGCTCTTTGCTCATTCCGCAACCTCATAGATACTATTCGTGAGCACGCTGAACGGCATATTAGCTACGAATTTAACATCCCCGCGGTGAATCTAAAGTTCTTCAAAGAATGCATCGATAAGGTGAAGCTCGATGATGGACAAGTTATCTATATCTTCCAGACTTCCGCTGTTGACGGCGTCATTGTTAAGAAGATTGCCATCGGCCCGTTCGAGGCCAGTTCATGTTGTGGACGCGTTTATGCATTGCTTACGATCATTCGCACCATCCACCACAGATAGCCATCTCTGTCGACACCGATGCTTTGACTGCCACGGTTCAAATCTATTTGAATTTGCCCATTGTTGGACTCCTCCTCTCCCAAGCCATGGGTGCTCTCAAGCTCAACAGCAACATTGAAGTTGACTTCAATGTCGCGCCTGGTGTCGGGTATCGCAGGTATCAAGGTGGATACAAACAACGATGTCCTCGTGTTCTGGGACTTCATTTATCTTGGAGTGGAGACAAAGGGCTCCCATGTTGTCTTCCACATCTGAATTCTGGGTACTTCATTTGCGACTTCATTTTTGTGGAATGGCTTCAATAGGTCGGGAGTGGGGGCACAGGCTCTTTGGAATCTCAAAGATCATTTCTTGCTCACGGACAATTCGCTGTTCCTAGCTATACTTGTTGAACTGACTTTGTCATCTCTGCGCAGATTGCATATCTGGTCTTGCTGTTTGATTAGGTATGCTCTGAGACTAAGTCTTGACTTTGGCGATCTCACATCTCCGTGCCTCGCGTGTGTGCCTTCACATGACATAGACTCTTTTTTAAATGTAAAATTCCCGATTACTGCGATAGTACCCACCATCACACTGGCATCACGTTGCCATGCTGTCCCAACAAAACGTCAACCAGGAGTATTGGCTGAGCTTGTGTGTAAAAGTACTCATCTTATGACTCACTAGTCACTTTGAAATTGGCTCCACGTTCCCGATCGAACTCCGAGTCTTGCTTTATTCTTCTAAAGGCTGTATCCGAACTGTGAGAGAGCCATTGCCGGTTTTTGTGTTGTAATCGCTGCGGCTGTGCAGCTAGGAACTAATTAAATAACCACTAAAGTCTAAGGTACACACCATCCCGAACTTCGTCAGTCACAGACCCCGTAGCTTTGACCCACGAAGTACAATAGACAACCAAATGAAGCCCACAATAGCGTTGATGGGAACCTGCAAGTCGGATATTATGTCTCACCACATCCCCAAAAGGTAACGGTCCCACAAGCACCCAGACTTATTGGGGATCCTAGGGGTTTCCGCGAGCGGCAGGCTGTGGACTTGAACTAGACAATAGCCCGATGTTGTGGCCCACCACAAGTGGCTTTAAGACGTTGTGGACGGTTTGTTATAGGTATTTTGAACGATCCATTGCTTCTTGACTTTGAATTTGTACCTCCTCCTGTACTTGATTACTAGCCTACAAAGCTTAAGACAGAATATTGCTGTAATGTCGATCGACGCTGAACATCAGAACCCAACCCAAGCCACCCCAACTGCCGCTAACTCAGACATGAAGGGTAAAGGCAAGGAGAAGGAAGTCGATCATTCTGCTCATGACGACATGTCCGACTCTGAAGAATCTGGGGGTGACACATGGGCCGAATACCCTTTCGAACGATTCCCTTCGCCACCAGGCGACAAACCTCGCAATGCACGCGTCCCAAATCCTACTGCTTCCCTCGATCCGCCTCTCATGGAATTCAACTACCCTCCTCCACCACCTCTCGCCAACGACCCTACGTGGTTTGCACAGATGGTCGCCGACGTTCATCGCAGCCGCGCTCACGTCAACACTGAACTTGGGTATGCACGAACCGAGGCCGCTGAAGCTCTGGCCGATGCAACTCTCGCAGAGGCCGAACTCAAGGCCGAGAGGGATAGAATGCAGAATTTCTTGAACCGCCTGGGATCTGTCGCTGGGAAGAACTTTGTGCGCAAGATGATCAGGAAAGTCGAGCGGTCGCTGAAGACTCACGATGACGACCTAGACGACGAAGATGAAGAGGAACTACAAGACGTAGATTATGAAGATTCGAACGGCAGCAACGAGGGTGAGGTGGATCATCAAGATGCGGAAGAGGAGGATCTTGGCGACGGCGCCGGTGAGAGTGAGAAGGGCCCGCAAGATGCAGAAGATGAAAAATATGATCGTGACGGTGATGATGGTTCTCGGTACGTACCTCACTTAAATTTGCACCAAGTGTTAGTTTCTGACCTGCAGTTTTTAGCGCAAGGTCTCAATCTCCACCCGCGAGCTGCAGCCCAAACTACCCTCAACAGTACCTCCACGAGCCTTTCAGCGATGGTAAAGCCCACGTTTGGTACGTAACTAGATTCAACTTGCGTGAATTGTTAAATTCTGATTGTGTTGTTTAGGGAAAATTCTGTGCCTCTGCCCGTAGATGAGAGTCCTAATTCCTCTCCACAAGGGATTTCGCACCAGCCATATAGCCCTGACTGGCGTCGGGGAGATGTTTCAGACGATGAGTATTCCAGCGGCGAGGACGACACATCTCGGTGCGTAACTTACTTGAATCCAATCAGTTTCTTCTAATGCGTCATTTTTAGGAAATGGACTGAACTTACACCTGCACATAAGAGCCGCAAACGACAACTTCAGGTCGAAGAAGAGGAGACCAACAACCCTGAGGACTCACCTCGGAAAAAAATCAAAAAAACCCCTCCGTCACCGTTTAAAGTCGCCAAAATTTGTCCAATTCCTACACGATGCTTCTATCCCCCAGAGAACAAACAGGTCAACACAATCGACCAAGACCGTGACACAGATGAGGAGTACGAGGTAGAGAATTCTCTTACTCTAGAGCATGAACCCATGCTATCAACGCCTTATTTGCCTCAACTGAACCGATTGGAGAGGGACCCGTACAGGGTGCGCCAAAATTCGCGGGGGGAGCCCGAGCTATATGTCCCCGGCAGACGCGCTATCGAACTGCCTTAGATATGTGTTATCAATTGTTATACCATTATTCCTTCGTTTTACCACTGTAATACTTACTTTGCTCGGCTACATTTGTATACCTTGATGGCGATTTTCTGTAATACACTATAGCCTCCATAACCCACGACTGTGAAAGTATCACTGAAGGATAATCGCATGTCACTTTGTAATTGGTCTGAATAAATAGGCAGTACTGGGAGACAGGTATGAGAGACACTCCGAATGGGAATGAACCATGGGTTAGGTAAGCCGGTTGTGATTGGTTGAGTTGTTGTCCGACGGCTCACGCCATTAATTATTACTTAAAAGTGGTGTGGTTCTTCGGAACGCGATTTTCACTTTCACTTGTTTTCCTTCAAAACCTCGCGGTGTGGTTGAATTTAAGTGTCTGTCTTTTTTGCTTCGACTATCATGACTTTCAACGCGACGACCGTCGCCGCTGTGGCTCAGACTACTACTCAGCAACTCTATGCAAACATCGATTTCACGAAACTCAGTTGGCTTGAGCAGATGTGGGCTGCTTGGTACATCTGGATTGACAACCCAATCATTGCAACGGGCCTCATGAGTTTCTTGCTCCACGAGGTATTTTCTCTCTCATTCAGAGTCCATGACTATTTGCTCAATGTTTTCAGTTTGTATACTTTGGACGTTCCATCCCTTGGATTATCATCGACGCTATTCCTTACTTCCGTCGGTGGAAACTCCAACCTAACAAGGTTCCCACTGCCCAAGAGCAGTGGGAGTGTACGAAAATGGTGCTGTTCTCGCATTTCACCATTGAACTTCCAGCTGTGAGCTTAGTCTCTGCATCTGACATTCGAAACTAATTCTTTCTCTGCAAGATATGGTTATTCCACCCTATGGCAGAGAACTTTGGTATGAGTACCTGGCAGGTTCCCTTCCCTTCATGGACAACCATGTTCCCGCAAATCGCTATTTTCTTTGTCTTTGAAGATATGTTCCACTACTTTGGTGTGTGAATCCTGAGACGTCCCTGCTCTCCTTACTGATAATATCATCGTAGCCCACCAGGCACTTCACACCGGCCCATTGTACAAGCATATTCACAAGATTCATCACAAATATTCGGCCCCTTTCGGTCTTGCTGCTGAATATGCCCACCCTGCTGAAGTTTTCATTCTTGGTACTGGTACCATTGCTGGACCCATCTTGTACTGCTGGTACACTCGCAACTTGCACATTTTTACGGTCTACATTTGGATTACGCTTCGTCTCTTCCAAGCTATCGATGCTCACAGTGGCTACGGTTGGTGGCTATCCATAGTAGCTGATCGTCAGTGCTAACATGTTCTTTTTCCTTAGACTTCCCCTGGTCGCTGCAGCATATCATCCCCTTCTGGTCAGGTGCCGAGCATCATGATTTCCACCACATGGCCTTCACGAACAATTTTTCCACGTCTTTCCGGTGGTGCGACCGTATTTTTGGCACTGATGACAAGTATCGCGAATATCGTGCACGCATCACTGCCCAAAAGGCGGCAATGAAGAACAAGAGCAAGTCTGAGCGTGAAGAGGCTGAACGCAATCTCATTGCAGAGATTGAGGCCGAGGGTCTACGTGCAGAGGCTATTGCTGAGGGGAGCATGCCTGCCCCAAAGACCGTTAAAGTCCAGTAATTGGTTTATGGATCTAGATGCGGTGATAAGATGGACACACTTGCATGATTTCATTCATCCAATACCCGTAGACATGCAATAATAAATATATAGTTAATTGATTTTTTGGTCTCGCGGAGTGGAGAAAACCCAGTGTGGCCGTGGAACTATAATAATCATATACTACTGACAGTACTGCTGTTCTTTACCTCAGCCCTCGTTACCAGGTCAATCGACTTCACACACACACAAGGAACGGTGTCTTGATCATGGACGGTGTCCACTCGACATCCTCTGTATTACCTGTCGAGATCCTTGAACTTATCTTCAATTACCTGGAACGTCGCGAACTCATCCCAGTCCTTAGCAGCAACTCCATATTCCACAATACTGCATTTCGTCTGGTCTATCGTAACATTTCAGAAACGTCGTCAGTCAAAGCCTTGAAACTTATAAAAACCTTTGCTTCTAATGCCACCTATTCCCGACAAGTCCGTTCTATCGATCTCGACTTTGCCGACAACCTCATCACCGCCAATATCCTCCGCCTCTTGAATCGCGCGCTCCAGCAACTCAAATCGCTCACAGCACTTACCCTCAATTTCTCCCAGACAGACAACACTGCTGATGTCGCATGGATGTTCCAGGGGTGTTCCTTCTCGCTCACGACCTTCACCTCATCCATGCGGTGCGACCGCTCGTTGGCGAAATTCCTGGCTACGCAGCCGAAGATAACGGAGCTTTGCCTGAGAGGGCTCAATAAGGAGTATGACTTTGCGCTGGAACCTAAGGCGCTCCCTAAGCTGGGACATTTTAGGACCGTTATGTCTTACCCCAGTATTATCGGAGAGGTCTTGAGAGGTAGACCTGTGGAAAGCGTTTCCATGTCGCTTCACCGCGGGGACGTCTGTGCATCCCTCGACACGTTGTTGTTATCAGCTACAGCGATAAAGAGGCTCACGGTTCTGATCTTGGAAAGCGACCCCCCTGTCGCACTCCTTCCTCTCATCGCAGACCGGCTACCTCATCTTGAGGCTTTCCATCTCGTGGTTCTCACGCCTGACTCTACCCATGTTGGTTTTTCATCTCATGCATGGCTTCGTCTTTTTCGTTTACTTATTGTTTACAGGAAATTCTACTCGAGATCGGCTCGAGTCTCGCGCAGTTCAAGGCCCTGAAATACATCACGTTCATGGCGCCAGGTATACCGACTTCCTTCAACGATGAAAAAAGCATCGCGGAAGCATGGAGCAAAGCGTGCCCAACCCTACAGACCATCATCCTTCCTAAAGGACTGGTATGGTTCCAGAGGGACGAGAATTGGGCATGCCTGAAGGATAACGAGGATTAAGGCTTCCTAAACCTCACAGAACGAATAAACCATCAGTCTCACATTAGTTGGGTGCCGGTATCGGAATTACTCAAAGGGTGACGGAGTGCTCGTCGAGATCGTTCGTGGAAGGGGAGTGCCCACTTGGGAATAATCGGAGAGCCCACTAGTGCGGATCATCTACCACGAGACCCATGATTGTTTGTTGGCAATGATTCTCTTAAGTTGCGACGTACAGAGGTTGAGCAGGAAGCTCTTTTTTTAGATACCCCAATGGCGAATGTACCGACAGAAGTGCAATCTCGGAGACAGCTCTCCTGCGAATACTGTACAGGCTCGATCGGAGAAGGAAATATCAACTATACGTCAAGAAATACATTTCGCAAATAAATAGGCATCAACGTAGATCTACTTCGATCGTATCTTCTCCAGCATGTTCGAGGGTACCGATAGGATCTTATACTCTACGTCAAACGTAGCGGCCGTTGTGCGGTTCCTCGCGGGATAGGTGATATTCGCATTCCAACTGCATGATCTTGAAATCGATAGGGTCCAGCCCATTCATGATGGGTTCTGATAGCAAGACCGGGGGCCAGCCCTTGATGAGCGAGGGAATCATGATGACGTCGTTCCGCTGACGCAGATCACGGTGGTACGTTGAATGTATGGATTTGCATGCGCCATCTGCTGCGGTTTTCGTATGACCTTCGTTGTCATCTCCATCAATGACAACCTCGTTATGCTCCTCTAGGACGTCATCTTGGATGCATTCGTATTCGCATTCTTTGACACCTTCATCGACACCTTCGCTGTCGTATACCACAGCATTGTCCTCGACTCCTTCGTTGATGATCTTCGTCATGTCTTCTTCGCCGCTCTTATCGTCTTCCATAAAATTTTCCTCCAAGCATACGTTGCCGTCCTCTGTGACTTTTTCTTTCATGTCTTCGTTCTCTCCCTCGAATTGTTCCTCGACGCCTCTATTGTCATCCTCTGTGAGTTCGTTGTCGCCTACTGCGGCACCTTCCTTGACGCACCCGTCATCTTGTTTCATAATATCTTCCTCGATGCCTTTGTCGTGCACTAAAACGTCATCAATGAGGCCTTCCAGGCCTTCAAGTTCATCGTCGTCTTCTGTGTCGTCTTCCTTGTCGTGCACTGGAACGTCACCCATAAGGCCTTCCAGGCCTTCATCGTCGTCTTCCGTGCCGTCTTCCTTATCGTGCACTGGAACGTCATTCATGAGGCCTTCGTCGTCGTCCTTAGCATCCTCATCGTAACTCTCGACGTATTTCTGGTCATCTTTGTCGTCCTTCAGAAGGCTTTCTTTGACATCGTCTTGTTCGTCTTCCTTGCTGATTTCCTGTTCGTGTCCCCGGTCGTTTTCCATGACATCTTTGTCTTTCTTCTTTGTCTTGCTTCTGACATCTCTGGATGGCGGCTGGTGTTCTGCTTTGTATTTAACGCGCTTTACCGCCCGACGAATCCTGCGAATCTGCGTAGCATTCATGGTGGCCCATTCACTATCGGGAAAGATGGTGCCATGCTTTCTAGTGGGGGTTAGTGTTGTCGGGTAGGCATCTACGGCTTCCTTCGACGGATCAGTCTTTTAGGTTCGACTTAGCCTCGTTAACTACTCGTATGTCTATAAGACTTACTTCGACAAGCGTTACCACAGAGGTGTTGCTCGAAGAGTGCCTCGCAATCTCGGAAGAGGTAGTCGAACTTCTCGAACGTGGATAGGGGATGTTAGCGATAAAGGGGGTATCTCCCTCATTGTTGGAAGAGACGAATTCGCCAAGAGCACTACTCGGGAGCCTGATCGACGAGAAACGATAATCGCGAGTTGACACTGCTGGCTCCTCGGGCTTACGAGATCCTCTTGCGTCGTCACCCGATGGTTTAGTACTGTGGTAGATCACGAAGGCCAGGTGGAAAGTTAAGACAAATGAATACAAAGAAATCTTGCCCAAAAGTTCGAAGAGCGCCTGCGGGATCTTAAATACGACCATTCCAGCCGCAGCCAGCATGGCCGAGACGGCTATCTCCGTAATCCGTCTTGGCCGCTCTATCAAAGACGCTGGCATGAGGATGATGTCGTCAGTCGTGATATTCCTCCTGGGTTTATCGAAATCGTAAAGGTCGGGTGGCGGATGACAGGGCAAGAAGGCATGTAAATAGAAGCTGTTATGCTTTGTTTGCTACGCGCAACGCGTCTAGGTCACGTGCTTGAAAATCACTTTAAATTTTTAAATAACACAATGTGATGGTTCACAGGGGTACTTAAACGTCAAGGTCAGCGCCAGTGTCTCCGCCAGTTCCACTTTCCTCGTCACTCCCAGACCACTGTTTACAGTCATCACACAACGACGTGCGGCACGACGGGCAAAGCCTCTGCGAGCACCCCGCACACGAAAAGGCCGAATGCGACACGCAGCGATCGCATACCTTCGCCTGACACCTTCCGCACGACGCAACAAATTTGGGAAGTTCCATCATCACCCCATCGTCCACATCCGACTCTTCTTCAGCGCAGTCATAGCAGAGGTGCGCGCGGTGGCAGTCTTGACATTCATCGATATAAGAGCAAGAGCGGCAGAACGGCCGGTCGCAGCGCGGACAGCGAATGACGACCCCCGGACTATACTCTGCACAGAGGTCGCATGCCCATACTTCCTGACACAGACATGCCACACCACCGCTTGCGCACTCTGGGCAGATCGTTTTAGACCAACATAGCGTGCTGTTGCAGCTCCGCCACCCAGGGAGCTCGCATTCCATACAACAACCGCGCTTCGGAGAGTGGACGCGTGCGGATTTGGCGTATGCGACGATCAGTTTAGGAAGTACGGACTTGCTCCCGGGTAAGCCAGGAATAAGCTGAATGTCGATGGGATGACCGTTACATGATGATATGTCCCTCGTGCAACACCACGATTTACACTCAGGACACTTTTCTAGCTCCGCTGTGCACCCCCGCTCTTCAAAACATGGGAAACATAACACCTCTTTTTGATGCCTGCCGCACCGTGCGAGCGGGGGTTCAGAAGATCCCGGACAGTTATCCGACTCGCACGATGCGACCTGACAGCCGTTGCAGTAGATAAGATTGGAGTCGCATATAGAACATCGCGGAGAGCGTGTTCGATAACAGGCGAAATCTATTATGTCACCAATAACCTCTTGTTGTAAAAGCCGTCTGTGGTATCTCTACAGCAGTTAATTCGCACTATGACAATGAATGAGTACGATCAGACCTTACCTTCGCCTGCACCTGTTGCCATATCCTACGTGCAAGGTCACACTCCTCCACTGGGTTGTTCAACCCCCGAAAGGAGGTCGACCTCATGAATACGAATTCGTCAATGTCTGCCATGGCCGACACCGTAAGTTTGCACGGCGGGATGAGAATGCATATGTTCCGCGCCATATCCACGAACTGCATAGGACTGGTGGTGACAACAAATTGCGTAACAGATTGCGTGCAGAGACGGAAATGCATCACAACACTCGATAGGTCAGGAGATCCTGGTTTTTCCTGCAACATCGCGTATCCGAGGGTCGCGATGTGTTTTCCTTCGTCAACTGCGGACGGCTCATTCGATGAGTCCGACATGCGGTAGACAGTCTTCATGACCCTAAATATGTTCATGCGCATTGGATGATCATAGTCTTTCTCGCACGGTGAGATGATTGTCCAGGTAGGCATGCAGAGCAGGTGGATGAATGGGGTAGAAGCGGAACCAGGAACACACGAAAATCAATAGGCGTCTGTTCATTGTGATTTCCTTTCGGGCGTAGCTATTTTGACGCGGTCCTGCCGCGCCTGCCGCGGTCGTGACGCGGCCGTGACGCGCATGTGACGCGGCACTGACGAGCCTTGACGCGGCACTAACGATCCTTGACGCGCCATTCCTATATTCTATATTCAACTTCCAGATCAAGTTGGATGAGTTCACGACCATTCTTTTGTTACCTTATTTGCCTCAGAGCCATGTACAACTAGGTATACATAAGCCAATGTCTATTTTCTTTTCCTCCCTCTCTGGACCCTTCGAGCCTGTGGAGCACATCGACGTTTAACGGGCGGACATTCTTCGGCCGGCAGAGAAGGAACTACAGCTTCGGATAGCTCGTCTGCAGACTCCAAAGATGTAGTTATCACTGAATAAGGGACCGCGCTGTCAATCACATAAGTTAGATATCTATCGAACGGAGCAGGTAATGTCTTCCTCACTTCAAGTTCACTCCCGCTATAATCTCTTGCAGAAACCCATTCATCAGGAATTCCGAGATACACATTCCATCGCCTGTGATGTTGGCCACCATCCAAACCCCACTGCTGGTTGCCTGCAGGTCCTGCTTCTTCGGAATCTTCGAACATCCTTGCTTCTAGTGCGGTCAGACACTCGATGTCGACGTCAGCCACGAAGCTATTGGTAGGATAGCTTATCATGAGATCAGCCCAAGCCATGTTCAACAGCATGCTATCGTTCCATTCTTCGTTTCGAGCTTCGATGCGTAGTAAAATAAATAAATTATTGCCTATGGACAATTACAGTGTACGACATCTAATTTTGTCAGGATGAAAAGGAACACTGTTAGAATATCAATTATTATGACAGATGTAAAGTAAAATATACCTAAGTTATATGGACAGTGTGACAGTTGAGGTGGTGAGGTCTGACGCGGCATGTGCTACTTGTGACGCGGCATGAATGAAGTTTGACACGGCAGTGACGCGGCGTGACGCGCGGGTGACGCGGCAGTGACGAGGTTTGACGCGGCGTGACGCGCCTGTGACGCGGCATGAAGGAGGTTTGACGCGGCAACTGACGCGGCACAACTTGTTTGACGCGGCACTGACGCGCATGTGACGCGGCAACTGACGCGGTATGTGCTATGTTTGACGCGGCACTGTAGCAGGCCTTGACGCGGCATAGAGTGTGGATGTTGATATTAATACAGAGACTGCGAAGATATTTGGGAGAACTTGTCGTGGTGTGAGTACTAGTGCTTGACGCAGCCTAAACGAGGCTTCTGACATGCCATGGTTGGGGCCTGACGTGGTGGTGCAGGGTATAGAGAGTGGATCAAACTTGGCAGTGTGAGGTCGAAGCTTGACGCAGTGAGACAACATTTGACACTGCATCTGAAAACCAACATAGATGAACGAATTAGAGGTAATGCAACAATATAGGACTGACGCGCAAGATGCATACTAGTAGTATGAACGCAGAGGACAAGCACTGTAAATTTGGTGAGAGGTGAATACAGCACTATAGAGCCTGTACGCAGGCAGACACTCATATGTTGATCATTAACGACGATTCAAAGTGTTTGGAATGCGATATGTAGTTGTGTAAACATGATCTGTACGTAGGAATTTGTTACAGTGCCGCGTCAATTTCACCTGGCCCTTTCCTTTCCTAGCAATACGTCTTGGTGCATGCAAGTAAGCCCCAGACTGGCCAGATCTCTGACATTCACGCAAGTAAGACGGTATGTTTGAAACAATTCTTACGAATAGGAGAATTATTTGACAGTCTTCTGTGCATACGATCCAGACCTATTCCACGATGCTTATTCTGGGCGTGCTTTTGTAGATGAGGCGCTGCTATCCCGACCAGTAGAACGGAGTCTGAGAGTCGGAGCTTGTGAGTAGAGGTGAGGCACGAATCTCAACGTGCGCTAGGATGCCACACTAGAAGGTTGCTGGAAGGAGAGCATAAATTTCTCCACGGCGGGATCGCTATAGCTAGGTTTTAGCTACACAAGTGAATGCCAACCGCTGAAGTTTGTCCGACCCACATCCACATTATTGCAAGCAAATATCCCTATAAAGAAACTGAGCTCAGACAGTCTATGTCCGCGTGTTCAATCATGCCAACAGTAAATACAGCAAAATGATGCAAGATGTCAAAGTAGTTATGGAGAGATAGGTAACAGGAGGTTACCGACCAAGATGTTCTCAACTACGGTCTATTGCCAATACTACTATCACATCCCCACGAGTGCCATAGCCACCACTCCTGCGCCCAAGCTTACCAACGCAAGCGTCTGTTTCCAAAGCTCGCTACGCCACAAAATCGGGTCCATTACGAAGTCTCCCGCAAGCATCTCGACACACGCGGCGTACATCAACATCCCTGCGGAAATTGCAGACATGATTCCTTGAATGAGGAGCATTTCCACTGTCGAGAAGTGAGGCTGCGTCAGAAAAGATTACAAGGATATGAAATATCACAGTGGTACGTACCGACGTCATGACCCCGCCTGAATGCCAAAAGACCAATTACAATGCCAACAGGGTTGGTAACTGCAAAAAGCACGATAAGGGTAGATCGTAAAATGGCCATATATTTAGTGCCTCCATCGTCCGACGAAGGAAGAGATGCTATCCGAATGCCGAGCGATAGCCCCTCAAAAAGCTGGTGAAAAATGATAGCCACGAGGAGTGACGCTGTGATAGAATTCGAGCTCGATATCGAATCAATGTAAGTAAATAAAACTACGCACCAAACTCGGGGCCCTGAGTAATCGCTAATGTTAGACCTATGATGACAGAATGTATCATGATGCCTAATTGCAACACCTAGAAAGCGAATTAATCTACGAGGACTTCGAACAAGTGCAATGCTCACGAGAATGCCGACAACCTGCCTTTTCTTTCCAACTTGAACCTCTTTTATTTCAGAATCGAGCGTATGTGAATGGCCATGCTCAGCATCCAGCACCCGGTCATGAACTATGTCAGCCACGATACCCTGTTCCAATTCTTCTGGGCCATATGATGACGATAACTTGAATCCGCGTTCATGGTGCGTATCATGGGAGCACCTAGCCTCGTGTCTATGATGTCCTTCGAAGAAGTAGGAATCGTGCCTGTGCGGCTGACTTGTAGACCCATACGAGAACGATCGCGTACGTCGAGGGCTTTGTGGTGAATAAGAATGTACGAGATGCGTGCGCTCAGATTGGGAAGCAGAGCTTTCCAGTGGCTTAGGCGTATCGACGCGACGGGTAGGTGTCGTAGAGATAGGTGTCGATGCAGTTATCGGGGTAGTCGATCGTGGAGATGAAGTCGGTGAACCGTATGAATGGAGCCGGTCTACGTATGAAGTGGATACATCTGACAGACGATCAGTGAGCGCTCATTTTTGTGGCGATACAGGACACGCACATTCAATCAAGAAGATAGACAAAAGCGAGGCCAATCTATAGAACGGATGTATTTGTTACAGAGAGAAGGCGAGAAATGACAGGGTGACGTACACGATGAGACCAGTAAAATCCCCTATCTTCGAGTGCGAGCGTAGAATTGGGTTGTTCAAAGCCTCGAAAGAGTCTTGGAGGAGATGAACGAACGCTGTGGACAGGATGACACCTGGTGATACAATGTCAGAAACTGATATTCCAAACTGAGTGATATCTCACCTGTTCCAAAGTGTTTTCCGATAAAAAAGACGATGCGAGGTATTTGAAGAAACGTGAGGCGCTTCGAGAGCAAAGGAAATGATGATGCTAATAAACAGTCACTAGTATCGCAAGACTCGGAGAGAGCAAGTGCTACTCATGAAGATACCAGTAACGTACCGAGAAGAGATACAACAAAAATAATGCATATTGCGCTGATGCGCGAGCCTACGAGTTCTACATTTGAATACATGCCTGACACGGCGTCTGTGTTCACGCAGTGACGAGGATAGTGAACTTATTTATGGTAAAGTGCCTAGACCTTGTCGCAGTGCGTACCGTATCACTGGTATCCGATTGGCTGGTCACCAAAACGACAATAGTTCCCGCCGTGTTGAGGTCGTCGTCGTTGACGGTCGTGTTCAAATGCAAGTCTAGTGGGTCGTGTTCTGGACTATCAAGCCCAGAGACGTAGTAGGTGGGTAAGGGAATGGCAGCGATGTGGCAAAGGCCGCCATGATTATTTCTAAGGTTCACTAGTTGGGGACCTCACCAGTCACCAACATAATTTACGTCACACGCACAGTACTAGTATTGATATTTACCCAAACAGTACTCGGTACTGGCACTCGAGCTGTCCTCAGGCCATGGCCTTTTAATTTTTCAAGATACAACTCGCCTGGTACAGAGTTGCGTAAAATAAAGATGCCAGAAATGGCACTTTTGAGCGTTTATCGACCATTTCGTTCCTTTAATTTGGCAGACGTGAGAGTCGGTGACATCCTATAACAGTGCATGTAGCTTTTTTGCCGGCCGTGTCCAATTGATACTATGTAGGGAACAGTACTATTACATATCTTTCCTTCTTGAAAATCAGGGTGCTTGCCTCAATGCCTGCTCAAAGTCCGCGATGATGTCGTTAATGTGTTCGATGCCCACGGACACCTGCCCAACAATCAGTCAAATTTGAACATTTCCATCAGAAGTATCCCGCACCCGGATCAAATCAGGCGTGACCCCTGAAGACAGCTGCTCCTCATCACTGAGTTGTTGGTGCGTCGTCGACGCGGGGTGGATGACAAGGGTCTTGGCATCACCGACATTTGCGAGATGACTGGCCAGTTTCAGGCCATCGACAACCGTGCTTGCCACGCTAACGTCGCCCCTGACGCCGAAGCTGAGAACACCACCAAAGGCATTTGGGCGGAGAAGCTGCTTCGCCCTTTGGTGATAGGGGTGACTCTCTAGGCCAAGATAAGAAACCCATGCGACCTTCTCGTGTTTGGACAGCCACCTAAAAACAAATAAACGTTTCCTCACGAATCAGTGCATGACGACGTACTGAGCAAGCGCTAAAGCGTTTTCGGAGTGCCTCTGAGCCCTCAAGCTAAGCGTTTCGATACCTTGAATCAGCAAGAATGCGGCGAATGGGTTCAGGGCCGGACCCAAATCACGGAGGAGCTCGACGCGAAGCTTGATAGCGAAAGCCACAGCACCAAATGTGTCGTGAAATATCAGGCCATGGTATGACTCGGAGGGAGAAGTGAACGACGGGAACTTTCCGGAGCGTGCCCAGTTGAATTTGCCTGACAGGAAAGATGAGACATGCAGATTGAAAGCATCGTGAAGTGAACGCACCTGAATCGATGACAACACCTGCAATCGTCGTTCCATGACCTCCGATCCACTTGGTTGCACTGTGCACTGATGACCATTTATATGAGCCACAGATTACCTACATGAAGGATATGCTCACCAACAATGTCTGCACCCAAATCGATGGGTCGGATGAGGTACCCTCCAATTCCAAACGTATTGTCCACGATTAAGGGGATGCCGTGATCATGTGCAACCTGTTGACTTAACATGAGCAGCGTTCCATTGACAATGATTAGCATGCGCACTTTCGCCAACTCGGGAATGGGCGCAACGTTGTACTTTGGGTTACCAATGCTCTCAACGTAAATTGCCTTCGTATTCTCATCGATTGCTGCTGCGAAAAGCGCTGGGTCATCGCCATTCACGAACTTCACGCCGATACCAAACTTTTTGAACGTTACTGCACATCGCAAGGGTCATGATACGGTAGTAAGACGCAAACAAACGAACCTTTGAACTGGTTGTATGTCTTCGAGCAACCTCATTAGTTAAAGCAGCCTCTCGACTCCCTAAAATGATAGGCTTACCCCTCCGTAGAGATATGATCTGTTGCCAAGATGTCAATCGCGAATCTAGACCTGAAAGACTGGGCCTCACGTTGAAACGATGTTGTCACCTGCACTGGCTATCGTGGAAATAGCAAGGAATTGCGCAGACTGACCGGAGGCTGTTGCGACGGCCGCAGCACCACCTTCAAGGGCAGCCATTCGAGTCTCGAAGACATCCTACATGAATAGAGGTAGGTACTTGGCTGCAGAGGAGGATCGATGAAAGAATCACGTACGACAGTGGGGTTGCCAATACGGGAATATATGTGTCCAAAAGCCCTGTATGATGTTCCATCAGGTTCAATTCGCCTTCCTCGATAAAACTAACTTGAGGCTGCAAAGATCCGCGCCATGCTGGAGTTATGATGAGCCCCTAAATCAAATCTTGGTGCGAAGTGACTAACTTGAAAGCTGTTGAAGACGAAACTTGTTGAGGCGTAAATAGGAACTGCGCGAGCATTGGTTGTAGGGTCAGGAACCTGACCAGCGTGCAACTGCAGCGTCTCGAATTCCTGGGGCCTTGGACCAAAAGTTAACCACTGCGAAAAACCTTGAAATGAGAAATGTAACTCACTTGTTTGCTTGAGCCATCACAATTCGATGTTGGAATGGGAGATAAGTGGGTTTGCGTGCAGACTCCGACTACCCTGCTATAAATATGATATTCAAGGTTCTGAGTATCAGTGGTACAGCATCACAAACATTGTTCAACTGTGAAACGAAGCCTTACGGAAAGTCTAGGTCCAGTCTGAGGATGTGCCAGCCGCCCGCCTAGATTCTAAGGGTGTTTAATTCTCAATCCAAGAGGCTCAGAAACACACGCGAGAGGATGGGTTTGCCACATGCACGCGCTCACTGGGCCCGGGAGGCTTGCGCATTAGGTATCAAAATATGCGGGATGTCGCCAGTGTGAACAGTATTGAGAACGGTAATATTGGTCACCCAGAGCAGCTTACTACTATAAAAATGGACAACTAAAGTACATCGCACGCGAAGGGAACGACGCAGGCCGCAACGGGAGGAAGAAAACAATAGGGTAGCTGTGAGTAGATCGCTTGTTGCAGGAAAAGTTGCATGTTACTTATAATCTTACTTAATCAACTTGGTCGTATTTGTTTCCTCTCATGCCATCAACTCACCTGGTAAATTTTGAGCGATTTCGTTCCTCAGATCAGTGAGTCGGTAAGACTCTATAACAGTGCATGTAACTTTTGTGGCGACCGTGTCCAATTGATGCTATGTAGGGAACTAGTACTATTACATATATCTTTCCTTCTTGAAAATCAGGGTGCTTGGCTCAAAGCCTGCTCAAAGTCCGCGATGATGTCGTTAATGTGTTCGATGCCCACGGACACCTGCTCAAATAATCAGTCAAATTTGAACATTTCCATCAGAAGCATCACGCACCCGGATCAAATCAGGCGTGACCCCTGAAGACAGCTGCTCCTCGTCACTCAGCTGTTGGTGCGTCGTCGACGCAGGGTGAATGACAAGAGTCTTGGCATCACCGACATTTGCGAGATTGCTAGCCAATTTCAGGCCGTCGACAACCGTGCTTGCCACGCTAACGTCGCCCTTGACGCCGAAGCTGAGAACACCGCCAAAGGCGTTTGGGCGGAGAAGCTGCTTCGCCCTTTGGTGATACGAGTGATTCTCTAGGCCAAGATAAGAAACCCATGCGACTTTCTCATGTCTTGACAGCCACCTAAAAACAATAAACGTTTACGCACGGATCAGTGCATGACGACGTACTGAGCAAGCGCTAAAGCGTTTTCGGAGTGCCTCTGAGCCCTCAAGCTAAGCGTTTCAATACCTTGAATGAGCAAGAATGCGGCGAATGGGTTCAGGGCTGGTCCCAAATCACGGAGGAGCTCGACGCGAAGCTTGATAGCGAAAGCGACAGCACCAAATGTGTCGTGAAATATCAGGCCATGGTATCCCTCGGAGGGAGAAGTGAACGACGGGAACTTCCCGGAGCGTGCCCAGTTGAATTTGCCTGACAGAAAATGAGATATGCAGATTGAAAGCATCGTGAAGTGAACGCACCTGAATCGATGACAACACCTGCAATCGTCGTTCCATGACCTCCGATCCACTTGGTTGCACTGTGCACTGATGACCATCCATATGAGCCGCGGATCACCTACGTGAGAGATATGCTCACCAACAATGTCTGCACCCAAATCGATGGGTTTGATGAGGTATCCTCCAATTCCAAACGTATTGTCCACGATTAAGGGGATGCCGTGATCATGTGCAACCTGTTGACTTAACATGAGCAGCGTTCCATTGACAATGATTAGCATGCGCACTTTCGCCAACTCGGGAATGGGCGCAACATTGTACTTTGGGTTACCAATGCTCTCGACGTAAATTGCCTTCGTGTTCTCATCGATGGCGGCTGCGAACAGCGCCGCATCATCGCCATCCACGAACTTCACGCCGATACCAAACTTTTTGAACGTTACTGCGCACCTCATGGGTCATGATACTACTAAGACACTGACAAACGAACCTTTGAACTGGTTGTATGTCTTCAAGCGACCTCGTCAGTTAAAACAATCTCTCGACTCCTGAAAATAATAGACTTACCCCTCCGTAGAGATATGATCTGTTGCCAAGATGTCAATCGGGGATCTGGACCTGAAAGATTGGGCCTTACGTTGAAACGATGTTGTCACCTGCACTGGCTATCGTGGAAATAGCAAGGAATTGCGCAGACTGACCGGAGGCTGTTGCGACGGCTGCAACACCACCTTCGAGGGCAGCCATTCGAGTCTCGAAGACATCCTATACGAATAGAAGTACTTGGCTGTAGAGGAGGATCGATGAAAGAATCACGTACGACAGTGGGGTTGCCAATACGAGAATAAATGTGTCCAAAGGCCCTGTATGATGTTCTGTTGAGTTCAATTCGCTTGTCATACCCGATGAAACTGACTTGAGGCCGAAAAGCTCTGCGCCGTGCTAAAGTCATGATGAGCCCCTAAATCAAATCTTGGTGCAAAGTGACGAACGTTAGAGTCGTTGAAGACAAAGCTCGTGGAGGCGTAAATAGGAACTGCGCGAGCATTGGTTGTAGGATCAGGAATTTGACCAGCATGCAACTGCAGCGTCTCGAATTCCTGGGGCCTTTGACCAAAATTTAACCACTGGGAAAGACTTTGAAACGAGACATGGCACTCACTTGTTTGCTTGAGCCATCGCAATTTGATGTTGGAATGGGAGATAAGTGGGTTTGCGTGGAGACTCCGACTGCCCTACTATAAATATGATATTCAAGGTTCTGAGTATCGCGGTGGTACAGAATGTGTCCGAAACACAGATAGGAATGACGATCAATCACGCAAGTACATTACTACATCACGAGTTCAAGCTCAAGTATAACCCTGTTTGGTTTGGTCAGCTTTACATGGCCGAGGAATTAAGACAGCATGTGAGAGAGAATTTGGATCATTGGAGCTACACAGTGGAAGAAACACGGACCGATAGGCACGGAAGCTGTGGAACTCGTGAGTCTTGTGACGGAGTTTCAACAATCTCTACTCTCAAGGTTGGTAGCTCCCAGTCCAACTTGAATTCAGGCCAGGCCCGGGCAAGCTCATCAATGGTGAATCAGTTACTATCAAATAGCAGAGCCCTGACGTCGGCGCGACTTCCTTGGCTTCTAGAAGCTGTTCAGGAGAGATGGATCTTCTTTTGTCTGACTTCTGTTGGAATGCCAAGTTCTCCCATCGGAGGAGATGTCTGTATTTTGATGGAAGTTTATAATGAGGACGACAAGACCCACGTATGTATCCATAGTACATACCAATCATATTCCCTCCAACTACACTGATCATGTCCATTGGCAGGATGTGATATAGCGAAAAACTTGGCGTGATTTGCAGAGGCAAAGAGGTTTCAGACGTTGCCATAGGCGCCGCCGCTATGTACACTCACGCGCGGCCCTTTCCACTTGACGTGATACACATAATAGCTTGGGTACAACCACCCGTGGCGCCAATATGATGCTTCTGGACCATATTTTAACGTTAACCGAGAATATTGTTCAACCCGCCGCTCTATCCGCGTCTTACTAGTAGTGTGCCGCTTCGTCAACTCCGGCCCAGCCGCTTTAATTCAAGTGGCTAATACTACGGCATGCCCTACCTCTTCGCGAAGCAAGCTCCTGATGATAAAGTGACCATTTCCTGGATGTCCTCCAAACTTCTTTCTGACAAGCGAGCATTATGGGCTAATACATAGGCAGAGTGCTTATGGAGTTACAGGGATATGATCTGGCAGGATGTCGCGAGCGAAGAACTTTTCGTGTCCACCGAGGGACTCGGGCCTCGCTAAGAAAACGTGGGTTCTAACTGATCAGCATGTTACACTTAATATCTGACTACATTGTCTCAAAGATCCAATACCATCGCTGTCTCTCCAGGGTCTACTGGTGTGAAAGAAAACGGCCAAGATACCGATAATTCGAAGTTCTGAACGACATACAAGAAAGTTTCGGACGAGTATGATGTCGACTTCTTGGCCCAGACGAATGATGATATTATCCTCACTTTTGTGCGTTCGTTTCAATGTGTTTCAATACCAATTTAACAAGGTGCATCAGGCTGGTCTACTCTCAGCTGTCAACTCTTCATTCATCGGCAGCGTGCTAACTTCGGAGCATGCTGTAAGAAGGAAGCGCTCTATGTGATGTATGATCAGGCCATGGCCCATCTCTGCAGTCAGTCGGTGAAGATCGACCCAAGCCTTCTTAGCAAATTTAGCTGGGATTATTGGGAGGCAGGAGTCGTTTCATCGCGATGCATTCATGGCTGGCCAAGATGCCTACCGTCAGATGACACAAGACGACGATGACGCTTCACATCAGGCCAATGTAAGCACCCCTCGGAGAACAGTGGTTGTCCATGGACTAGACCAAAGATTTTTACTTCCGGATAGCGAGGAATTAACTTGGAGAGGTGTCCTGCAGTGGTCTCACAGTAACGGGGATAAACCCCACCCTGGAAAATTCGACTGGCTTGTTGATTATCTGGCGGATAAAGCGGACGACAACCATGAATCGGAAGGTGATGCTTTGCTTGCATCGAGTTCTACGCATGGACTATGGAGCTCTCCCAAGCAACCGTCGTTTATCAATGCGCTCATCCGTTGTATGGACGAAGATGGCGACGACGACAAATATAAACCCTCCCGAGTCCTGTATGCCGCACTGAGACTTATTTCGGACACTCGAAAAGAACTTGCGGCTATTACAGACGACTCGATGCCACAGGGTGTCAATACACATCTCCTGGATTCGCTTTGTCGCACTCTTTTCGCTGCCGTATGTCCAAATCATCAGACAAATTATAAATGAGTCCGACACCCCTTTCCACGAGGAACGAGACGGCCGCTACATCAGCCTCGTCTTTTGCTTGGCAAAGAACGGGAGGTTGCGTCAACGTCTAATCAGTGATAGTCATTTCCGGCGGTGTATTGATCTAGTTGACAAAGTTAATCAGAGGAAGAGCTGGATTTCGAAACCCGCATCCTTCTGAAACCTGCCTTCCAGGACTCGATCATCGGGAGCATCAATCCTACATGCAAGGATATCGTTCTCACCTCTACCGAGAAAATGTCGCTCAGACTATTGATCAATAAAACGTGGCACGCTCACATTTACATGGACGATGACGACTACGTTGATGCAATACCAGTATGTATGTAGAGCTAAATGCGAATTATTAACGCTGTGTAAAATTTAGCTGAGGGAATGGATGCAGACATGCCAGTGGGTATTGATACATAGATGAATTGTGAAGTCCGTGACTCGGCACCAGATGTGGAGGTGAAGCGGAAAAGTATGGTGGATATGGTGCGGAAATATTGAGGCCAGTGCGAGACAGCGAATGCATGAAATGAAGTGGTGGTGCGTGCACAGGCTGGGAGGAACTGGAGGTCGTAGGGAGTCCTGATGTTGAGCCCAGCTCAGTGCTCAGGCGCTCACCAGAGTCACCACTGGACTGCAGCACTAGTGCAACTATTATGAAACGCGCTGTCAAATTCAGTAGCCTGCAACCTGGCTCTGAATCACTCATGTTGAGTCGGACGTCCTGGGAGGTCCGTAGGCAGAGATCTTGCTGACTGACGCGTGGGACACGCGTCACGCGGCCGCAGCGGTGCGGTCGCTGTCGTAGTCAACAAGCCGCAGACTAGGTGTTGCTTAGTGCTGATAGGCTGTGTCCGTTAGTCCCGGTGTCACTGCCTGATTCGCCACTAACCTTTCTAAAGAAATCGTTGCCGCTCTATCTCGATCATGCGGTGTCATTGCAGACTCGGAGTCTCTGATTGCGGTTTCACATAAATACCAGGCCAGAGGCAGTCACTTCACTATCAACTTCATCATGGTCAACACAATTCCTCCCGCCAATCCAATTCCTGTTTCACCATCCTCTGCTGAGGTTCTGGCACGCCTCTTTCCTACACCAGCGCCCCCTCCATCGGTCCTTGCACCAGCCCGTCAACCAAATGCCGGTCCAGGGCCAACTGCTGCACTGTTGAAGACCCTCAAAGATAATCACGAGCGCAGCCATGTCTTCTTCAACCACTACAGTTTTCACAAGTATGTGCTTATAAAATGACATAGCAGAACATCCTTGACACTCCATTCAGCCATGCAGCCCACCACTTGTTAGCCATTTGGGCTCTTGGCGCATCTGGACCTTTGATCACAGCTGCATATGAGGACACTCACCTTGACCATATGCGCGATGCCTTCCAGGCACCTGACCGTGTAGTAATCTCAGATGACAACTTCCATGACTACCTCGGCGACGAAAAGTAAGCCTGAATACCTCCATAGTATATCTCAGTCGAAATAACTCACAAACGCGACCCAGTTATTATAATGCATACCTGGACTATTACCACAAAGTAGTTCTCGCCCCGGGTGCCACCATCTCAAGCACCCTTGAAAAGTACATTTTCTCTTCAGAGTACAATATCAACGATTCTCTCGCATCGGGAAAACAGCAGCCTGAAATGCTTAACCGTTTCGTGGAAATTCTCATCCACCCCCTCATTCATACCGGCTACGGTGCAGAATTCGGACTTCCTGGTATGCTGGCTGAAGGTCTCGCTCAGGCGAGCGTTCATCCTGCACGAGCAACCGTCTTAGTCTCTCGTTTACTTTTCCCTGGAAACCCGGACTCTCAGTACAGGCCCAAATCGCACGTGCATGCGGTCTCAATCCTCTCGCAGATGCTTGTCGATAGCCGTTTCTGGACGCGTATCCTCGAAAAGCATGAGTTCGAGGCTATGCTCGTGTCGCACGGCGAGCTCATCAACTCTTACGCAGAGATGTGGACATGCGAGATCAACAGCCAGGAAGATTTCAATCGCCACCTCGAGGAGCTTGTATGGGCAAGCACTTTGATGTACGGCGTCGGTAGCTGGGACGGCGAGGACAAGGAGTACCGCGCAGATTTCTTCACCATGCACATCGTCACTTCATGCCTCTTCCTCCCGTCTCTTTGTGCCCACCTTTCATACCGAAGCCAGTCTCTCCTCCTACGTGCACACTTCCTCGCGAGCATCACCTGGTGGCTTGTTCGTGGACGCCCTGCTCTCCCTCTGCGCAAGTTCTTCGCCGCACCACTTGCGCCCCTCCCTTCCCCAGCGCACTTCAAGTACCCGACGACGTTCCCTGGCGTTCTACCCCAGCCAGCAGCATGTACACTACTCGGCGGGGACGGTCCACATGCGGTGACGCCCAACGTATGGTACCCCCTTCTACAGAACACAATCGTACACCCAAATGAGCATCTCTGCAAGTGCCAGCGTGCGCTTGCGCACTTTGCCATACTGTACGGACACCGCGAGGCCGGCTTCATGTCGGAGGCACTGTCCTCAAGTCCGGCGATCAGTTGTCCTGACACACCACTGTTGCCTGGTGGCCTTGAACTCGCAGAGGATGAGCGCAAGGCACTCGAAGCTCCAGAGTGGGAGTTCCTTGATGGGAGCATATTCTTGCGCGTAGCTTGGTTGACTGGTGCTGCCCTTGGATGGGTGAGGGATGGCGAACCGAACACAGGTGCCTGGGATTACCAGGAGTTTGAGAGAGTGGCTTTGGAGAGAGATGAGCTTGAAGCCAAGATAAATGCATAGGCGATGGGGGCATGTATCCGAAGTAATCGGTTTCTGTTTGTTTGACTCCCATCTCAGCTGATCATATACATGTAATTATTCCTTATAACATATGCAGAATCCCTGATATCTGGAAACGAGTATCAAGCCTTTGGGATCTGTGACACCTGGCCGCTACTTCGGGGTCACTGGTCACGTGAGTCAAAACGTCACCGATGAAACCAACTGGTATAAGCCCCTTTCCCGTTTCTAGCACTAACTACGATGTCCTTTGAACTCGACACAACCGCTCACAGACCATTCCATCGACCTGGTGACGAACCTTTTCAACACCCAGTTGGACACATGCACGCTCATGGTCTAGCGCAATATTCTCCTAAGGCAGCGGAAGCGTTTTCGTTCCCTTCCAAGCCTGAGTCAAAGCACAGTGTGTCACCTCTTCTGTTCCAGACCCCGCAACCGCCTCTATCTTCCACATGCCCCCAGCGCTGGCCAGGAATCGATGCAGAAAGTACCAAGATGCTTTTGAAAGTGTTAGAGGACAATCATTCGAGGTGGCATATATTCTTTAATTACAAGGGATTTCATAAGTGCGCTCCGTTTCAAGCGTATGTGTATGTTGAGCACTAACTTTGTTGTGAAGCCATGCAGCCCATCACCTTCTCGCGATTTGGGCGATGGGCGCAAGCGCCAAGATCATATTTTCTGCTTATGAAACTCATTGCGTGTATCAGCGGCCTGCGTTTGACTCACCAAGCCGTATCACACGCCATAATTTCAATGAGCACCTTGGCGACGAACGGTGAGTGATGTTCGACAGCATCGTTTGTTAATTACTGAATTCATCCAAGCTTTATTCAGCTTACTCGGATTTTTTTGTTCTTGAACTCGGGAAGAAAGGGTTTGCTCGCACCTTTGAGGAATTTGTATTTGCTCCTTCTGCCAATTACTTAGCAGAACCACCTCCGGAAGATGGTCATCCGGAGATGCTGTCTCGCTTCATTGGTGGATTGCTTCACCCTATGATTCACACTGGTTATGGCGCAGAGTTTGGATTGCTAGGCATGTCGGCAGAAGGTAGAGTGACATTTATTTCACGGATTGTGCTGGTTCTTACCTGCAGAAAGGTCTGGCTATGACTGCTGTACATCCTGCGAAGATGCATGCACTTCTTCCACCTTCGGATTTCAGTTCTCCTTTGAAATCTGGAACCATGCATGCCCTATCAATTCTCGCACTTGTCGCTAAGGATGAACGATTTGAGCACGTCAAAATGATGGACGATTTGGACATGCTTACGATGACCGTCTCATCTTACGACGAGGCACTTCGAGCGTACGCTCAAATGTGGGAATTCGATGTAGCAAATAAGGAGGGCGTCGCAAAAGCGGTAGAGGAACTTGCCTGGTTTAACTCGATAATTTATGGAGTAGGGGGCATAGCTAAGGATACGTTCAGCGCCGATTTCTTCCTGATGCATCTTGTCACTTCTACCCTTTTTTTCCCGTCCCTCGTAACTTCGCTTTATCAAAATCCCCGTGCCCAAGCATTGCTGCTGCGTTCCTTTTTCGCAGTGAGCCTGGCGCGCTACTTATCGCGGGGACGCCCCACCCTCGATATCGCCAAGTTTTACAGGGACACATCACGGCTTCTGCCTTCCAGTGGTCTGGACGTCATTCCGGGTCCGCAGCCTTCACCTTTCGAGAACACGCTTCCCGACAAGAATTCTCCTGAAGCGCGGACGCCAAATTCCTGGCTATCCATAATACAGACTACGCTCGTGCACCCTAACGAACATTTGTGCAAGGTAGAGCGGGCACTCGCGCATTTTGCATCATTGTACGGCTTGCGAGGACAGGGATGGTTCGCCACCCGCAAACAAGCGAGCGTAGCCACAAATAACAGTAAGCTCGAAGATGTTGAGCGCGACATGGGACTTGGAAAGTTGGATGGAACGTTGTTCCTTCGCGTGGCTATGCTTACTGCGCACACGCTTGGATGGATGAGAGAGGGCCAGCGCGAGGAGGGGTGGGATTATGAAGGATTTTATGACAAGTGAGGCGAGGACGTGAAACACTTTGGAATTGTAGTACGATACTGGTACAAGGGTGAGTGCTATGTCTTGTTATTCTGAACTTCCAGGTGCAAATAATACGTGTGTAATGTTGTACATGTGCTAATATATAATGCGTGCAAATAATCGAGGGAAAAAATATTGTATCATGCATGCCGTCATGATTCGGCAGAATACATGCAGCAACCCGAAATAGCCGCCAACTCTTGTTTGATTTGGGTCATGGTGGGTCGCAAGAACGGTACTGGGCTCCAACACCTATCGAGGAGTTTCCGGAAGTGGTCCACCTCCTTCTCCGGAAGTTGGAGTTTCATAGGAGTGCATCCACGGGAGGGCTTCACGCCCCTCATGATGTCGAAGATGACTGCAGTATCGTTACTTCTATGCGAGAAAGGAAGTGAACCGGTTGCGACCTGCAGGACATTGTCAACGAACGGAGACAACAGACAGATGGACGAGCCAACCTCGAGACAAACGCATGCAAAAGCGTATACATCGCTGCTAGTGGATATCGGAGGCGGCTGAGCATCATCATCATTGGTGAGCGCTTCGATGAGTTCAGGCGCCATCCAACGAGTTGAACCAGCGAAGAGCGATGTTGCGAAACGACTATTCCGCATGCTGGGCTCGGATTCAAGGACCTCTTCGATGACATTTGACAAACCAAAGTCTGTCAAGAGAGCTTGACCATTGTCGCCGATAAGGATATTGGACTAGATCTAAAGCATAAATGTCGAGTCCGAAGAGCATGAATGAAGATAAACTTACGCCTTTGAGGTCGCGGTGGATAACGACTGGCTGGCAGTTGTGCAAATAGCTGACTGCCGAAGCTATTTGCTGGATCTGTTACACCTCGTGTTAGAGGATATTGTATCACCTGTCTACCACCTGACTTACTAATGCAAATCGATCTGCTTCGGGATTCATTTCCAGATAACGCGTCAATGTACCGTTATTGCACCAAGGGGAGACCATGGCTATGGAGTTAAGAGACTGGGCAACGCCATAGAGCTGCGCAATATTTGAGTGACGCAGGCGGTGCCAGGCAACAACCTCTGATTTAAGTCGCTGTCATGCTTCATTAATGCGCGAGTAAACTAATTTGGAGATGTGCACGCACCAGCATCAGCTTCTCCTTGATTTCGTCTGTCACGTGCATGTACTGGCGAAGGTATTTGAGTGCGACCTATCAATCCATTACTAAGATACTGAATTGGGAAGAAGACAATGCTTCTTACTGGTCGTGTCCCATGGTGGGAATGTGTCCAGATTCCCTTCCAAACGTCGGCGAAGGAGCCGCCAGATACAGGTGCGTCGCCTACTTTTTCAACCTCGTCTGTGAGGTCAACAAGTAACACGCTGCCTTTCACGACCAGGGTCTTCGTTAATTGCTCTAACGTTGCCTTTTGCCTGGCACGTTGCTTCAGCCGCGAGTAGTCCAGGTGCTCCGTCACCCAACGGAAGCTATCGTAATGCGCAATAGCTTGGGTGATAGAAGTAAGGGAAGAGAAGTACAACCGGGCTGGGTGTTGCTGGAGAAGGGAAGCGTTACGAAGGTGCACGTCGGCCGGCGACTCAATGTCGACGTCAATCCAAGCAGCAGCGGCTCCCATAACTTGGTTTCCTACGCTTGAACCATGCGTCTGAGGCTCCTCACGTTGTGTACCAAGCACGTAGAGAGCAATAGTAGGCATGATTGGGAATAGCAGATGAGCCGATGAGCTAGTGAAGCCATGTGTTCAACATGGCCCGATATATAACAGTTTCTTAGACTCACGGATCACCAGCAAACTCCTCATCGAGGGTGGCAAAGCATGAATCAGGGAGCACAAACTGTTGACCTTCGGACGCCAGACCTATACAGATCTCGGCATCGCAGAACCTCCAGCAGTCAAGACCCTCAAAGTGACGGAACACCTTCTTGTCGGTGTTCTCGTGCTGCAGGAAAGCATGGAAACCCCCCAACGTAGCACGTCTGCGAACCCGATGCCATGCATGTCTAGCGTTAACGACTGCACCACTGCCAGTGATGACACGTGTCGTCAAGCTGGCAACCGTCTTCGCGTACTTGTCGCTGTTTCGATACCGTAAGAATACGAAGTACCGGAGCAATGCGTCTCGGGAGTGTCTTGAAATCGGCAGCTCGAGCCTCGTGTCCGGTCGTGATTCCCCAGAGTGTGAAGAGCGGATCTTTAATATCAAATCACTAAGGATCCGCTCCACTTCATTTTCCAGACGGGTAAAGGCCTGTTCCGCGGTGCGCAAGACAGACCGGCAACCTCCATCCAAAGATGGGATGTCAAAATTATGGAAGATTGTCTGAACTTGCTCGGGAACACGACGCGTTTCAGTGAGTTCGTTGTCGTAGACGTCATATGCATGGACACGGTGATCATCGAGGGTGTGCTTCAATGGATCGCTATGTATGTACCTCCTGTTAACAACAAACTGGGGGTCATCGATGAATCACTCACGCATCAGACAACCAAAACCGCCAGAAGAACTGGGGAACGTAAGGTGTCACTGCGATAGTTTCATTGGGGATCTGTATCAAAGAGATCATCAGATCTCTGATCAGTGAGAAAGGTGCACACCATACCATTGAACTACGCTAGTCAGGGAATTTTACAGGAATCACTCAACCGCCCAGCAGTGACAAGGACCACAAGGTGCCCCAAAAGTTGGAGGTTGTCCACACAAACAGCCAGGTTTGTGTAAGGGCTGCTCTTCAAGGTAAACGGCCGTCGAGTCAACCGTGGACCGTCCCAGACCGTCTCTTGTGGGCGAGTAAGTGCAAGAGAAGTATTGCTGTGCATGGTGGAGTGTGTCATATTTAAATAAACGTCTTGACGTGAGCCCTCAGCCATGCGGCATAGGCGCTGAGTAGGAAATTACGCGTGATCATGATCTTGACACAAAATGCGGGGAATAGTATGCGGTGCCATTCGACGTGGCCGTACTTACTGGCACTTAGTCGAGAGTCACCGTAGCTAAAACTGATATGGTTACGTAAAGCCTAAGTGGAGCACCGGCTAGTACCGGAAGCCTAACCATTACTTGGGTTCCGATATTGATGTGGAAAACCAGTTCAGCCAAGTTCATCAGAACTCTTCGGAAGTCCCTGAAGCTCCCAGGGCACATAAAGCTATACCTAGTACTTCAAGTTTCTTGTGGGCGAAATGGTCCTTCTCTAGCATAACAAATGCTCTTTTGAAATTGAGTACCAAACCAGATTTGAACTCTGTAATTCGGCAATACCACCCGTGACCAGGTTGTGTAGACGTCATCAGACAGTTATGAATGAAAATTGAGCTAGTAAACTTGTAGTAAATCACGCATAATAGTACATACACATGGTGGCCGCATACTCCATACTTGGAAGAAAAATATCAAAAAACGTGCTCGCTAAGGCTTAATGCTGTACGACAGCGTGTGTTGGGGAAGTCGTCAACGGAGCGCCCGCTTAATCGATTGTGCAGTGGTGCTATTGCGGAGGACCCTCCATCCAGCCACAGAAGACAGACGAACCCCGCATAGCACATGATGTCATCATGGTCTCGGGACCAATCGCGACGCGGAGAGGCCGTAGAACGGATCATCAGAGAAGGCGTTGAACCTATAGTGTTGACCTTCCAGGGTATCTGGCATGCATGGAAGCGTAGGGGTACGGGTCAGTGGCATGGAGCCCACATGACTGCGTGCATCTTCAGAATGTCTTTCATTATTGTGGGCCTCACACGGCGAAATGTTGTCACGAGCATCATCGGACATATCGTCGAAGGCGGAGGAATCCCCTCGCGAGGTATCGTCTGCAATGACATCATGATAGCTGCAAGGTGAAGTCGTGAGTGGTCAAGCGCCTCTTTGTATGAAGAGGCACTGACCAGGACTTTTGACGCTCCTGTATGACTCGTGGCTTCACTTTGCGTACTGCTTCGTTGATATACCACATTGCAACAACAGTCACCAGAAGTGTGATAACACCAACTACATCAGCAATAATCTTCCTAGTGGAATTGGTAGATGCTGTGAAGTATGTGAGCAGGTGCGACATAATGGACAAAACAGGTAACGACTCACAGTTTGGGTCACTCTCAAGCATTGCACCAATGTAAACAGTAATGAATTGTTTTGGAAGAGAGAGCACAGCCGCCAGCATGAATGTAGATATCCCCATTCCACACACTGAGAACATGGCTGTCGTCACTGAAAATAGCAAATATTAACGAATGACGTATGTGTATAATAGAAACTTACGGTGCCCTGGAATAGCACTGTAACGCGCGACCAACGCGACTTTGAAACCGCGTTCACGGATCACCTTGCACAGGGCGGCATACATGACACTGTCTTTTTGCAACTTATCTCCGCGAGCTTGGCAGAAATGTTTGAAAGTGCTTGAGAAATACGTTCAGGGTTTATCATAGAAAGTATCGAGTAAAACTCACTAGAAGTTGGCGACTTCACCTATGAAAGTGCCAGTTGCGGTGATGGCAAAACCAATCATAGCGCCCCAAACAAGCCCGCAGAGGACGGCCAATATCTCGTGGCCAAATAACTGAGAGCGTAAATTACAGTCAACGAGGTAATTCAGTATGAAGGTACACTCACTGGAGGGAATGATATTACAAAGAACATCGCAATTGGGATGAGCCATCCGAATTTCAAGCTATGCAGTTCGGTAAAATAGCATTAGGGAATCAACATGCTTCAACGTGAAATAGACTCACTCATGAATCTTCTCCACTGTAGGCTGTAAAGCGTGCACTATCCGATCATGGAAGACCACAAAAAGGGAAACCAGGACGATGGTGGCGACAAGGCAAACGCAAGTTACTGGAACAATGCGGATCATTCCATAAGACTGTGAACTGTAGGACAGACTATATTGAATGCACACCTATTCTGCGCCATGTCCATGGTCGTTTCCAGATCAAAAGCCCCTTCCAGTCGAAGAATGCCTCTTCAAACCCTGCTTCGCTGGGACTCGAGCCGGGTTGTCTTTTTGGGACAAGTGGGTCTGTGTCGCGGCGTCCATGAATTTCTTCATTATTGCGCTGGACTCGGATTCTCGCAGGCATAAATTTGGAAGATCGACGGAGGGTAGCTCTCCTAATGAGCTCGATGAGCTCATCCCGAGAACCAGCCAGCTCATCACCATCCAACAATGTACAAACGCATGCATGGTTTACGCTAGCCACACCGAACGATTGCAAAACCTCCCAATGCTCGCCCCACCACTCGCTCCAAGGCCTTGACGAGCACCTGTCCATACCCGTGACTACGATGGCAAAGGGGGCAGCACCGATGGTAGATTTGACACTATTGTAATGACGCAGCTGGGCCTTCACATCCAGCGATCCTTCAATGCAAAGGATGAAGAGAGGAACACGATTTTTGTCGCGCACGAGTTCTTTGACGAAAGACTTCAGGTTTCTGAGAGCCACTTTCGCAGGGACGAGTCCCTCGGAGCCTTCGTTAAGACCGGGAGTATCCCATATTCTATACTTTCTCTCGTCGATTGAGAAGAGGTAGCCGTTGTTCGTCGCTGTGCAGCCTATTGCATCGTTTGACGCGGGCGCTTCTTGGCTTGCTAAGAGTATGTTGATAAGGGAGCTCTTTCCTGAGCCCGTCGTTCCAAATATGACAATATCCTGGATCTCATCATCATCCTGGAACATACATTCAGTAAATATGAGTCCTGGAAGCTTGGTTGAGTCATGACAAACTGCATGAAAAGCCACGTTGCCTGTCACAGCTTCGCTTTGGGACTCCTGTGCATGTCTCTTGAAATTCATGATGGTGGATTTACTCGACCAACTCTAACTGCAGCAGACGACTCAGAGGGAAATGTAGTGTTGGTAGTGTTAGCTTGAGTGCAAGGAGGGCTATACTCTCGTGCAGGGTAATGTATACATGCCTATACAACTCAGGCGCCTCGAGGCGCCACATACTGCAGTCTGGCCCAAGGGTCCAGAGTCTAGATGCCGAACGTGGTGTCTGACACATCAGAAGGCCCACTCGGAATTCAAGGTAGCTCAACTGCGTCTATGACATGGCTCCGAATCGAAGACCTGACGCGTCTCCTACAGCCGGATTCTTGAGATGTGGAATAGTATGGACTAGCATGGAAACTTGCTAGACAACGTCGGACTAGACAGCTGATGCTTGGCGTTTCAAATGCATGAGAGCATGAACTCCTGAGGCCTGAGGCCTAAGGTATCGCTTGTGCGATCCTTGATGAATGTTGGATGAAAATTACCTTGCTTGACCATAGATGCTTCAGGCAACTGCCCTAACTTCACGTGACATACAACTACCCGTCGTTTGCCTCCGAGTCTTCTCTCTGCTCGCTACTCCAGCAAATGGAACAACTGAAATTTATTTTGCTTCATCGTTACCAGCCATATTAATTGGTCAATCAAGGTTTATGCAGACGCAGGCGGCACTTCCAAAGTTCTCGTTCCAAGATTCCTGGATGGTTTACAAGCAATTGACATCTAACATATTTTCTTCAAGTTAACATATCAATAAGTACGAATAGATGTCGATTGGATCCACCCTTCCCGATACTATATATCAGCCCCGGTGCATGGCTACGCAACTACTTTCGATGGCTGTCGAGGTCTCGCGCTCTCAGGCTCGCACAGTTCTGGAACCCGGAACTGATCTCCTTGCTCGTGGTCAACTATATACTGCACAGTCACGTGTGTGCTTATTTTCAAAAGGAAACGAGGAGAAAGATAGTGCAAATAAGTCGTGATACTTGTCCCCTCGCGCAGTCGCATTGCTCCATCCCTTCCTGTGGTTCTAGGACACTAGCACAAGTTGATTTGCATCCGCAGCTCTCAGACGCTCGAATTTCGTGCACATCGAGTTTGAGTCTGGAACAGAGTAAGTACCGACACATATATGTAATACAGTTTACTGATATACCTATGGCCAGATGGGTAGCGGGTATAGCAGCATGAAGTCTACCCTACCTCTAATAATGAAATAAAAAAACACGTCTACGCTGCAGATGGTCACGGTATATAAGTCGTCAACGGGAAAATAGTAAAAAGAAATGTGTCATCAACGGAAATGGTCGTCTAAAGGAACGGTCATTAAAAGAAAGACCCTACACCGGCAGATCTGCTAGGTCAGCTTTTTCGATTATGGCGTCGTTAATCTTTTCGTCAGAGTCCGTGCTCCGTCGAGCAGGAGTTCCGGGGTCGCCGTGTTTTGGTTGGGGCTTGTGGTCCGTACTGCGGTCATAAAATATTGATACTGAAATGAATTCGATAGACATAATTGCAAAGAGGAACCAAAATGTTGCGGCTCGTCCGCTATACTCATGTGAGCCCCCATGCCTGGCCTCCACGGATGTCTCTATCGAGCTGACTCCAGCGAGGCCAATTGCTGATCCAAATTGGAGAGCGCCGTTAAATATGGCACCAACTGTGCCTGCCATGGACGAAGGCGCGGCTTGAAAGATAGCAATGCTGTAATCATAGGAATTAAGACGTTCGTAAAACCACGACAATTTGGACTTACTTTGTGTGCGTATACGTCAGCATGGCCCCTGCGCTTCCTACAAAAAATGCTGGGAATATGTATGGCCAATATTCGTCAGGCTTTCCCCCGCCAAGCGCCAGCAATACGGTCGCGACCATGCAAAGGGACAAGCCGGTAAGAATAATCCATTTCGGACTAAAGATGCGAGAAAGTGGTCCGGTGAAACTTATTGCGAAGGCCGCGACACCGATCGGGAGCCTGGTAAGTAAAAATCGTCTTGATAACGGGTAACTTGGAATGACAGTGAAGACCTTACATGTGTACAGCCGATGATATCGCCGACCACTCAAATACGTTTTGCCACAGGGTGGTAAAAATACTGAACACTGTGCTCCACCACAGGAATGGGAAGAGCGCGACGCCAAAAAGAACGGAGAAATTGTGGTAAAACCATGTCCGAGGTGGTCTGGTACAAGATCAGCTAATGGTTGGTAGTTGGTGTAAGCGTCTCTGATAGCATACATTGCAGCTGTGTCCACAGGTATGATTGTTTCCCAGCAGAAAAATCCGATCACCATCACGATTGAAATGATCAGCGGGACCAGCACCATGACGGATGCCCAGCCGTCAGTGGATCCGGATGTCACAGCGAAGATGAACAAAATTAAGGCAGCTATCGGAAATTGTGAGTGATGCGAAGCGGGGCATGCTGAAAATTCAAACCAGTCAGGATGGTTATGCCGAGTAAGTCAAGACTTTTCCATTTCGCTGCTGCAGGCTCAAGATTCCCTTTGGTCTTTGAAATTTCTGGCGGTATGACGAAGACACATGCCAGAGCGGCTGGCGTAGCCACGATGGTCACAAACCAGAACACGAAATGGTAAGATGTCCATTCGACGAACATTGCACCAATCATGAGACCAAGGACTGCGGAAGGAACCATGATGTTAGTCATGGATAATCAGCTAGTCGAAATCCTCACCGTTAGCGACGCAGCCGCAGCCTCCGAATAGGCCTATTGCGCGAGCTTGTTCAAGCGGATCGGGAAATACGTTGACCAGGAGTGTTAGGGCAGAGGGGATCGTCATTGAAGAAGCTGAGAAGCGATCTTCGTCAGCCAAAATCGTCGGACTGGCGGAAATGTTTACCTATTCCAGTCAACGCTCTGAGAACGATGAGCGGAATGGTATCATTGACAAATCCAGCGCACAGCGAGATGACAGCGAGACCAGATACACCCCCGACGAACGCAGTTTCTGCGAGCCCATTAATGTGACTATCTGATAGGTACGGCATAGTACTGACTTGGGTTGTATACGTCGCTAATCCGGCCGCTCTAAACAATACGTTGAAGTGCAAGGTCAGAATCGATGGAATGAGCACGCACGATGAGCAGAAAAGATGCGAAGGTCAATTGGAATCCACTGATGATCCAAGTGGACTGACTTTCAGTCATGCCCATGGATACCTCGAGTGCAGGGATCGCTGAGAAGAGAGCTGAATTATTGAAGGAATCTAAGAACTGAGCTAGACAGAACAGGAACAGTAAGATGATTCTGCGAGTACGAGAATAAATGTGGGGTTCATGATCGACCACCGTTTCAGCCGGGGAGGGAGGCAGCATTGCACCAGAAAATTATAAACAAGACACTGAACCGTTAGTTCAGGAGCGATCAGCTGACGAGGGGGAGGTTGGAAACTTTCTCTGTTCAAATGGATGAATGGCTTCACATTATAAGAGGCATCTCCACAACCAACGTGAATCAGACACATGGCGGATCGGAGCACCAGCGACTCGGAAGATCTCGATTAGTATGTGCTCTGTGAACACATGAATGTGTATAAGTTTATGTAGACTATCTTTGGAGAGATTTCAAGATTCTGGCAGCCTTTCTCTGTATGCGTAAGGAAAAGAATGTGCGACTGGCATCATGTTTGACTCACGGTGTGTCTCCGGGAACCATCACAGGGAATTCGTATACCCGACCATGATGTAGCTTATGATGGCAAATATTGTAGTTCAGCTACACAAACGAAATTCATGCACAGATTTATTGCATGATGAGTGTAGGTTTCTTTAGCATGAGCCATCGTACTTAGCGTTGCCGTTTTTTGTTCCTTCGTCGAACTATCAGTATCACAGAAACAAGCGCTAGTTACAGTATTCACCTCAACAGCGCGGAATTCTGTCTTGATCACATCACCACCTCGCATGTACAAAACGACTCTGCATTTCAAACCGTACGGCCACCGCGATAAGGAGGGAAAATCACTCTGCTACTCAGCGCTGTCGCAGCCTTGAGGGCAAACACGAGTTTGGGACTGTGGCGCACTTTGACAGAAGGCGGCCCAGACTCCAGAGATCTACGAGCGAGATGTCATATTAAAATGATTTAAAACTTAAGTAAAGAGTGCAGACCAATGGAAGTTCGGAATGAAAAGACAGGAATTTCAGTGGCTGTCGGTAGTGCTGGGGTAGAATTGTTTGCAAGCCGGCACGACTAGCAGAAGTGGCGAAACGATGGAAGACCTCGGTCAATATGCTCCAATTCTTCGAATTAGTCTTCCAACACTTCATTTCCGTCAACCGGCACCCATTCCTGTTGCGCAGGAAGCTAGGTCAGGGGCTTGTAGTCAATGTTCCAGATAGGGGCATCTGAGGTGTCAGAGGTCCTAGTATTACTAAGGTCTTACTAATACATAGTACTACCGAGCTAGTCGTTGTTCGAATGCACCGACTCGCCGTTCCATGGTTTCTTGCTCACATCCCAATAGCGCCATGGCCGCGCCGATCTTACCAAGTGATATAGATTCAGGACCTGCAAGATTATCTGAGTTTGAGGTGCGCAAAACCGAGTTTTACACTTGTGAATAAGGTAGTTTTGGAATTAGTTGTCACGACCTTGGATGCAAAGACCATCTGGACAATGTTCGTGGGACTACTGCTGGGCAGTAGTCGCATCCATATTTGTCGTCGACCTTCTCGCCTCGCATTGACATTGTTGATTATGAAAGATAAGACAGGGCGTCCGGTGAGTGCAGCGGCAGGCATTACGCGATCGTAAATGATTATCCATCTGGTACAAGCTGTATAACTGAAAACTCTTTCTACGCTACAGGTAAGGAGGTGCGCTTGCTCTAAGTCACATCGACTCAGAGAAGGCCATAACTTAAAGGTGACGAAGGTCACTGGAAGTTTGGATATTTCGCTGTGATCGATCATCTGATTCAGTGATTCCCTGTAACTTGTCATGCACCAGGTAGAACCGGCTGATTCTTCTACTACGAACACTAGATGTGATGTCCTCGAGCCGTGTCATTTGTGAGACACTTTGTACACGCACGTTGTAGAATTTCCGATGAGTACGCGTCCTATGAGCACCCATGGACACAAAATCTCTAATAATTCCTTTATTTTTGTTCAGCCGAGAATGCTGCAGCCATGAGGATGGCCTTCTTTTCGGAACCCGAATCAGTTTTTTGGCAGTAGCCTGATATTTTCCTTCGTACTTCGCCATTCCTTGTTGATGCATGTCTCACGCTTAGATCACTCATCCTTTTCCCGTGACTCAGTGGGGGGCTCGTCTTTAGCTTGCCGCGCTTGCAGCATGGAAAGATGGTCTTGATTGCGCTGATCGAGTTCACCCATCTGTGTATGTTTACATCTATTTTGGTAGATTACCGCGCTCGTGGACCCCTGTCTCAACGTTCAAACGTTCTACCACAACCATCACGCGTTATCGCAGTTTGCCCACTATCTTCTGTTGTCGACAATGTTGCCTCAGCATGTGCTTGATAAATTTGCTCATGTTCCGGCTGATACGACCAATGAGAATGAATACGGCGGGGCATACACCGCACTTCTCTGCACCATGTTCCATCTGACCTTATTAGAACCATATATGATTTGGCTACATTATCCCCTCGATGAAGAAGATCCTGCTACTGAAACAGTCTCTTTCATTGCTGTTACACTGCAGTGCCAGCCCCTATTTGTCTTGCAACTCCATCCCCCTGGTCATATCAACCTCCCGTCAACCAGGATTGCGGCAGACAACAAGATGAGGAGAATACTCCATAGTGTCTGTCCTGAAACTGTGGTACCCAAGTTTCATGGTATCAGTGCAAAAGCTTGCTTTTTATTCCACGGACACGATCAGTGGCCGTGTACACCCTGACCGTGTTCCAACTTCTGGGGACGCATCAGTAAATTCCCACATTTCTTAACTTCCTTTTTCGAGACTTGCCGCCGGTCAAAATCCCAAAAAGGAGCGGAAAAGTCACTCGCAAAAATGGCGACACCCACTTGCCATCCACTTGCCACAAGGCATATAAGTTGGATAAGTAGATGCCTCCTCTTGAATTTTACTTTTCTACCTTTATTTTCGCTTTTTGAGCAATTATTTTCAATTATTCCTACAATACAAGCAGTGCAAGTTGTGCAAGCAGTGTAAATTGTAGCAACTTATTTCACTTATTTCACTCATTGTGCACTTGTTCAAGACAAAAATAACCGTATATCATTGCATTTGTATATTAAGCGAGACAAAAAGGAGAGAAAGCAATATGAAAGTACTGGTAAGTAGCGAAAACGAGACATTTAACATGCGCGCGGCGGGCAACAGTGAACAAACAAGCAGGGAACAGCGATGATGAATGACGAGAGGAAGGGGCAGTACAACTCTATAAAACAGAAAGTAGCACCGAAATCCGTCAGTTGGGACACTAGAAAGTGACAGAAAAGGACAGTACCAGGTATCAAAGATGAGTGCGCGCTCATCCTCAGAATCTTCTTCCACAGTGGGGGGCGCACCACGCCTCCTCGCAGCGATCTCCTTCGTGCGGCCCCAGACGTCCTGGAGGATCGACTCGTCGAGGCGATTGATGGAATTCATATAGCCCCTGGTTGCCGCACCAAAGTTGGTGTCGGAAAAGGCCTTTCGAGAGTTGCTGATCTTGCCTGAGGCTTTGTTCATACTGTGGGGGACTTTGACAGCATTGCCTTTACTGTTGACCTCCAGTTCACTGATGAGCGTCTTGTCACGGCCGATAATCTTGAGGGCGCGTTCCATCTGATAAATACGTCAGTCACGATATGATGAGGGGGTAAATGTACATGCCGCCGCAGTGGCGAGGCTAAGAGCGCCCTTCGCATGCGTGACCTTCCTGTGGCTCTCAATGGCGCCCCAGGTAGCACACCTGTGCTGTACGAGGACTTGAACAAGGAGTTCCGACTGAAAGGGTTTCTTGAATTGTCCGTCCTCCGTGATGCTACCATATAAGAACCCTAGTTTGAAAAGTAAGTTGTTTGCGAAATCTTCGCGGTCTTGGTCGGTCTGGACATCATCCTGTAATGACATGAAGTGTGTGAGTGCGGTGACAGCGGTAGTGCCCATGCCATTGCGCCATTCTGATAGCCGCTGGGTGGCCTAAGAAGAAACAAGAACGATCAGATACGAATTGCATCAAAGATCACTTACTAATGCCATGACAGGCCCATCAGTAGTCACCTTGTGCGGTATGTCCTTGTACACCGCGTCCCAGGTGTCCTGCACAGTAGTGCAGAGAACTGCCTCCAACTTGGGAAGAGCCCAAGCCCAGACCTCATCTTGATCTCCGATCGCAAAAATGAGAGTGGGGATGAATACTGCACTCCATCTAGCCACTGCCCGAGCACCTCCAGGAAGGTTCTTGATCCTGTAAGCAGAACGGGGGAGAATCTCCACCTCGACAGAGTTCGACACGGCGCCAGAAGTAGCACTCGAGATACTGGAAAGACTGCGAGTATGTGTGACGGAAGACTTTGTCCGCTTAGCCGCAGGAGCTTTGTGCTTGACGCCAACATTAGTCTACATGATTCGTAGTTAGTATGATTTGAATATTAATAACCGAAGCTTACTACCGCAGATGTGACCCGCAAGGACACTGGTTCAGATTCGGTCTTGACCACCACAGGTTTGCTGTGCCCCACAAATTCAACATCGGATGAAGGTGTATCTTCCTCGATGACGAAGTCATCATCGACCATGAAGTCGTCCCCAATCTGGTCGTCCTCGATCACGTCGTCCTCGATCATGTCGTCCTCGAGCAAGTCGTCCTCAGGCAGGGCATCCTCAATCGCGTCATCATCGGTCAGGCCATCCTCCATATCTGCGAGTTTGCGCTTGACACTTGTCGCCAGAATGGTAGAGTGGGATGTTGAAGTTCAAGCGAGAGCTGCAGCTCGACGGATATCAGCATCGTAATATCCTCGGGGGACCTGTGTAGAAGGAGGAGGCTCGAGATCAGATTCCATGTCAGTGTCGGATCCATAGTTAACGAGGGAAGCTACTACTGGGGGGGTCGCCTCAACATTCATTTCATCGTCGGAAACGTCAGGCTGAATTGCGTTGATCTGTCGAGGAGTCAAATTGGCATTGCGATGGGATGGGATTGATTTGTTCGTACTGAAGTATCAGGGACCTTAGAATAAATCTTGACGCCCTGGTGATGCTTAATACATAAGAAAGAACTAGATAATTAAACTCACCTGAGCAGCTATTGGTTTGGACATACGGGCAAGGGCTTGAGAGTGCTCAACTGATTCAGCCAGATCATCGTCTGCAAACAGGGTCGTAAAACGAT